GGAAAGGGGGGAGAAAGAAGCCCCTCGGAGAGAGGGGCTAACACAGAGGGGGGGGAGCATGCCAAATACGAATTGGTTGTGGTTCCGAGTGTTTGCGAATTTGGGCTTGAAGAAGAACGGCGGCAAGTTCTCGCAGGAGAGGCTCGATGCGGATATCAAGCACCTAGAGACCTTCTATCGCGGTGATGGATGGTCTAATGACGGGCCGGAGGGGATTCACCGTGGGTTACAACTTACCCCCGAATAACCCTTGACGACGCAGCCGGCTGACGAGAACAGAAATGGACTACTACTCGTCGAGTTTTGCCATTCACTTCCTCCAGCTTCTATACGCCAAGCTAGCTGCTGAGGATGATCCAGAGAATGCCGCAGAGTTCAAGAAGCGGGCTCAGATGGCGGCGCTGGACTTGGCACACTACTACGACAAGGAGGGTAAGTTAACAACTCTCACGAGTTGAGGCAATGCTGATTTTTCCAGGGCGGTCCATTCCTTTTGGCCGCAGTGTTGGCTATCGCTTTGCCATGGTTTCCTTCTGGGGCGCCCTTGCGTACGCTGATGTCGAGTTGCCCGCACCGCTTACCTGGGGCATGGTCAAGGGCATGGTCATGCGCCATCTGAGATGGTGGCAGACACAGCACGACATGTGGAGCTCGAGCGGCACGCTAACCATTGGGTACTCGTACCCAAACATGTATGTGAGTAGACATCCTCCCTGGTAGATCTGTTGATGATACTCACGAAGAAACAGATGGCCGAGAACTACAACAGCCCGGGTAGCCCGGTGAGTGACCCCTTCCTGTCACCCTGTATCCTAAATGGACCAAGCTTACACTGTTCAGTACTGGGCCTGCCTAGCATTCATCTGCCTCGCCGTGCCCGAGACACACCCCTTCTGGACCTCCAAGGAGGAGAACCACTGGGACGTGATCCCCAAGATCAAGGCACTCAAGCACCCAGGCCACATCATGAGGTATCTCACCTATTACCCACCAACCCCAGCCTTCAAACCTCCCGGACTAACAAGCGCCCAGCAACCTCGGCGGGCACTGCATGCTGCTCTCTTCCGGACAGGCATGTTCATACCCGATGAAAGGCACGCACGCCAAGTACGGCGCCTTCGCCTACTCATCCGCATACGGCTACTCAGTTCCCCCGGGGCTCTTCACGCTCGAGCAATACGCACTCGCCTCACAACTCGGCCTCTCCGACGACGGCGGCGAGTACTGGAAGACGCGGCGCCTCTCCACCTCCACGCTCGAAGCCCGCAACAGCGTTCCGGTGCTCGTATCCCTCTGGACGCCCTTCCCCGACGTGCACATCAAGACCTACCTCATCCCGCCCACCGAAGCCGCCCCCAACTGGCACATCCGGGCGCACCAGATCCGCGCCGCGGGCCGCACGGTGCAGACGGCCGACGGCAGCTTCGCCATCAGCAGCTCGCGGGCGGCCGACGGGCGGCTGCTGGGCCTGTACGACGGGTCCGCAAACCACGAGGGCACGCGCCCCCGGCTGATGGGTAATTATGATGTGGCGACGCCCGAGGCATGGGCGAGCGGGCTCGAGGGCGCGTTCATCGTGTCCAAGGGTGCCGTGGGCATTCGCGCGCTGGAGGGGTCTGTGGGCGGGCGTACGGCGACGCTGGTGAATGCGGATCCGAACTCGAACTTGATTGAGAGTCGGACGGCGATCCCGACGCTGCAGGGGACGGTGGAGAAGGGGCAGACGGTGTGGTATGTGACGGGTATCTACGCGAAGCCGGATGGGGAGGGGGTCAAGAGGGAGGAGTATTTGAGTGGGTGGGAGGATGTGCCTGAGGTGCCGGGGTGGTTGAAGGAGGAGATTGGTCAGTAGGGAGGGGGTTGTTGTGTTATGAGTGTGATATTGTTCCATTTTGACTTGGCCGTTGAGCGAGCCTGATGCAAATGTGATGGATGGTATGCAATCCCGCCTGCATTCTGGTGGCTGCCATGGAATGCGCTGATGGGTGCAGACTCGGAGAGTGGGTGTAAATGGAGTTTAGGACCTTCTCCCGCTGCTGGTTGTTGGTGTCGGTTAGGTAACCACCTCTCCACTGAAAACTCATGAAGCGGCACACACCTTTCCCGGGTTTTAACGCAAACTTTTACAGGGTCTTAGCGTAACAAGCCGAGGGGTTCACAGCGCCTGCCGCGAACCGAAGAAGGGAAGTGGGGGGGAGGGAGCTTGCAGCGATCTTGATGGGAGTTCCCGTCCCGCATCTTCCTACCTTCTCCAACTCCGAATCAACCTCCGGCAACAGCTCCGTGAATCCAGTCCGGCCTCGCCCGAAAAACACGGGGCGGCACGGGCTCAGGTCGCCTGTTCCCGGGTGAGGTACCGTGTTAAACGTCGAGAGCAACGCCGCGCGAGGCTGACTCAAGCTGGTTCGAGGCTGGCTTCTCTCGGTGCTTACATTTGGCGACCGAAAAGTTTGTTGGTTTGTTGATCAGTTGTTTAATCCTCAGCATGCACTTTGGGAAATTCAAAGGCATGACGAATGATCGATTGTCGAAAGTTTGACCGCCAGCAAGCAACCTCAACCTTATACTCGAAGGGCGCTCGCGAGCAGCCTAAAGCCCGTTGACTAAGGTATGAATCAGCTCCACGCATTACCTTTTGGTGGGGATATCCTTAGTCCGGCGATCTGATGTCTTCGGCTGTCGTAGCACCCGAGCTTGACATATTCCATGGCAGTTAGTGGGCTGAATACATGTTATCGAGCTATAGCCGAACATCATCGGTTATCCCAAACAACGCATTTCGGCAGGCTTCCGGACTCGTGGATGCCGGTTAAGCCTCAATCTAGGTATCTAGGGTTGCCGTCGATCACATCTACCGTCACACCCGCCGAACGCCGAAATTGAAACCCGATTACAGCGGTCAGGGGAAGGACCGCGCCGTGCGCAAGCAAACTGACTTCCTACCTAACTAAGCGGCAGGGATGTCGACTATCGCCTACCGCTACTGCCAATCTTGACGTATAAGTGACCATCACCCCGGGGGTTTCGGGCTGTCCATTCTGCTCGAAGTGGTCTGAATCAAGCCATCCGGATAGCTTGATATCAACAAGAAACCCCATCACACGCTGCATCTCCAACCGCGTTATTGTATAACTACCCCCTGCAGCAACCTTTTTCCCCTTTGAGGTTGCTGGCACACCCGACCCGCTGTGACCAAATAAACAGCCTGTGGAGCGAGCTCAGGAGACTTTCCTCACCTAGGATAGGTGCAAACGTGCCGCGCGACGACGCCCCTGACTGGCGAAAACAGCCGCTCTCGCAGGTTCCAGGTTTACCTGCGTGATCGCCTGCCAGCATGGCCGACAAGAAGACGGCAGATGCTGGGCCGTCTCGACATGCCCATTCGACACCAGCAGCATCATTCCGTGCGCAACCCCCCCTTTCCTTTTATCCCTGGTGTTGTTATCTCCCAAGCCCAACTCTCAACCGAAGCCCGAGCCTGCGTGATCTATCTATCCGCACCCGCTTCTGCATCTGCACTTGCATCTGCATTTGCGTCCGCGACCCCCACCCCCCGCTATTTCCGATGAATGAAAATGAACCCTTGAAGACCTCATCGGACTGATGGACAAGCCAGCAACGCACAACTCGCCGCGGACCTGGTTCCTCACCTCGTCGCTCTCGCCGTTATGCATCCGCCTAATCCGGTTGTTACTGGCCCACGGCGACTATGTGGTGGCCTGCCTACCCCCCGTCGAGATCGAGAATGAGGAGCGGAGCGCCGAATTCCGGGAGCTCATCAACGAATGCAAGAGCAACCGCAAGGACCGCGAAGGCTGGAAGGACCGCATACGCGGCATCCGCTGCGATGCCCGCGCCATGGGGCAGTGCGGCGCCGCCATTGCCGAGGCCGTGCAGGTATTTGGTCGCATAGACATTTTGCTTTGCTGCAAGTTTGAGGGTGAGTTTGGCAGTTTGTTCAGCTCGAGTCATGGTAGCTTATTGGTACAGCCGTCATCGGTACCGTCGAGGAGCTCTCGGCGACACCTGCTACACGCAACCTTGTCCGGGACCAGTTCGATACCATCTTCTTCTCCCAGGTCAACTTCATCAAAGCCGCTCTGCCCCAGTTCCGCGCCCAGCACACGGGGCATATCATCATCCTCACCAGCATTGGGGGTCACATCGGCACGCCGTGTATGCCCATGTACACGGCCGCCACCTGGGCTCTTGAAGGCTACTGCGACTCGCTGGCATACGAGATTGCCCCTTTTAACATAAAGGTCACCATCGTGCAGCCCAACAAGGAGATCCAGAGCTTGACCAACAAAATCATCTTCGCTCCGCAGCTGCCCTACTACGACGCCGAGATCAACCCGGCCCCGAGTATGCGTGAAATGCTGAGCAACGTGCTCAACGCCAACCCGGACACCGCCATCGAGCAGTCCGACGACGAGGTCCAGGTCCGCTACCCGCACCTGCCCGCGGCCGCCAACGACAAGCTGGTCATGGAGACGGTGCACGCCCTGACGGCGATCGGCGGCCACGAGAACCCGCCTGCCCGGCACATTGTCGGCTTCGAGGGCGCCGTGGCCGTTAAGGAGAAGCTCAAGACAGTGACGGAGGAGCTGGAGGATTTTGTCGAAGCTAGTTTGGCCGTGGACATTTTTGAGAGCGAGCTCAAGACTGAGGCGAGGCAGGGGAAGTCGAACGTGGATGTTGCCGGGTCGGGGAGCGGGTCGGGTATGTGATATGATATGGCTCTCGCACCCGTTGGATTTATTGTTCCAACCCCATACCTCCTACCTACGCAACATGGTAAGGATGCCGGAGAGAGAGTAAACGCCAGGTCGGCTGGATGGAGGGGAAGGGTTGTAATTTTATGGAGGGAGTCTGGGTATCGGGGATTGGGTTGGAAAAGCATGTTTCGGGGGGCATCGTTGATACCAGACTCATCTAGTGTATATATGCACATGTTATTCAGAATAACATTTCAAAAACAGCGTTAAAAAGTGACCACATGCGAACCTGAGAGGAGGTCTAATTTTGCGGAAAAGCCCTTAGATCGCGCCTACAAGGGGGTATTCCTGCCCCCCTGATCCTCAAGCCGGCACGCCAATTATAGTGGCCATAGCTCTCCGTCCCGCGCCAAAGCTCGGGCCTCTGCGGGACCGGGGCCGCTGGGGTCGGGATGGCGCATTCGATGCTGCATGTCATGGATTACCTACAACAATCTATACCTGAATTTTGGGATTTCGAAATCGCACTTCGCATATCTCACCAACGCACGCGACACCCAGCAAAGCAAAGGTTCCCTCGTCTAAACACCCCAACCTACACGAACACACGCTCGACTTCGACGCGAATCAGGCAGCGGCGCATCTCTGGAAGCTCGCTGCCCCCCAACTCTCGACATGTGCTACCCCTGACCTGACAACTCTCCTTCGACTTTCTGCGCTGTTCCCGCACACGTCGGGAACGACCGCGGCGCAAGAATGGCTATCGATCCTCTTCTACCCGTAGGCCCAGCGAGGGTCAAGGCGCTCGTGCTGCCCATCGGCCATATTACACGCGAACGCTTCACCGCGTTCGTCAGTCGTCTAAATGCGGAGAGCATCGTCTTCCTCCGGGACGTCACCCCCGATGCCCGGCCGCATAGAAGTAGGGAGTGACGTATTTCCTGGTGCTAAATGCTCTTTTGCTGACCAGACCGCGTCCAGACATGTTCTCGCCCTTGGCCTTTCCCGATGGCGCCATGTTCTACGACCTCATGATGCACCACCCACCTGCCTCCCACCTCGCCCTCTCACCGTTCGATTTGTTCCGCGAGCCGCTCGCCGTGATCGCCGTGGCCGATGGCGCCGAGCTGCCTAAAGCCGTGTTTAGTAAAAGACATTCGGGTGGAAAGACCGTCGAGGAGGCCAACATACGGTCGCTCTACCAGGACCTAGAGGATTTGAGGGACCGGTATTCCAAGGTCCTAGCCCATCAGGTACTGGTATTTGACTACACGCCGGCCAAGGAAAATCCTTTGCCGATACCCGAGGGTATTGTTACTGTTCCGCCCGCCGAACAGTCCAAACGAACCACCATCAAGACGGTCATGTGCAATATTTCGGCCCTGATCCTGGCTGAGATGACCACCTTAGCCAAGTCATACGAGGGAATGTCGTTCATAGACTCTCCAGGGCAATCATCAGGCCATCAGATGAGTGCCATAGACGAACCTACGGCGGCCCCGAGGAGAAATTCGCAATTTTCGCTGCCGATAAACCGATCTAGCTCTACCAGTGGGCTTCCTGATAGAAGCCGTGTTCGTATGACCATGCCACCTGTCCCCTCCAAGGGGCAACTGTCAGAGTCGGCCGGTTCCACACCCACCGTCCGGCCTACGACCCCTGTGAGCAACAACAAGCCTCTTCCGTCCCCTCCATCCACGTTTGAAAATATCATCGGACCCATGACACCGAATAGTCCTGAGCAGGCTGGTCTTTCAAGGCATGACACATCCGACAGCTTCCGAACGCAGAGCCAAGACCGAGTGTCGGTGCAAGGGTTCGGCCCCGGCGGGCTCAACGAGAGGTGGAGGAGCAAGGGGAGATCGCGGGTCCAGGTCGTGGTCGGGTCGCTCTATCTCCAGGCTGGCCTGTGGAACAACGCGCTGAAGGAGCTAACCGAGGCTGCCACGATAGCAAAGTCGATTAATGATCACCTCTGGCACGGGAAAGCCCTCGAGCTCACGCTCATCAGCCTCCTGCTACTGGGCTGGGCTGGCATCGAGTTTCGCGTCCCCAGCATCCTGCTCCCGCCGCACGACAAGGGGAACAGTGCCGCCATAGCGATGCAAGAAGCCGAGGCGAGAGACCCCCACCAACCTCCGTGGTTGAGACACCTACAGGTACACATGCCCGAGCTGCTCGACCGCATTATGGGCCTGTACTCGAGGATATCGGCCGAGCACCTTCCGCCGCTACCCCACTCCGAGGCCATCATCCGCTTCTGCAGGATGTCCGCAGCCATCCACACCGCCAACGGCCAGATCTGCCGGGAATCGCTCGAGATGATCGTTTTCGGCGTCCCGCCCCGGGTGCCCCTCACCACATCGCCGCGCTTCACGATCCAGCCCACGCGAACGCAGATCGTTAACACGCTGTTCCGCGCCTTCCCGACCTCCTCGGCCGAGCTGCTCACTACGGTGGACCGGGTCGTGATTCTCAGCGGGATAGCGTCCGTGCTGGGACATCTCGGTTTCCGCCGCAAGAAGGCTATGGTTGTCAGAGAGCTCGTCTCGATCCTAGTGGGTGGTTTGGTTGAAGCGCGCACCCGTGGTGCCGCCGACGTGGGTATCCATCCCGCGGCCGGGCTTGTCGGGCTTAATGGTGCTAGTGCTCGGGATGGGGCGGGTGGTGTACTGGAGCTTGCTGAGGGGGACGTTGAGCACGGGATTGATTCGTTCCTGGGATTGTTGATGAAGACGTATGGGGTTGTTGGCGGCAACACCTTGGGAGACAAAGAGGACAGTTCGGACGGGGCGCTCGTGGGAAGGATTCAGCAGCAATCGGCTGCGAGACACTTTGGCATGCAGAGCGTCAAGCTTAACATTCTTCGGGCCTGCATTAACTTTTCCGAGGCGTTGCCGGACTTTCAGGGCGTGCTGAAATACTCGAGCGATCTGCTTCGGACTGCTGGCAGTGGCATTGCTCCCGGGCCGCGGAGAGAAAATGCCTACCCCTCGATAACAAGGGAGGAGCAAGTTCGCTTGGTCACCAATATTCTGAAGACGTCCAGTCTGTCCAAACGCCTGGGTATCGGCAATTTGACGGCCGAGTACTGGGACGAGTTCCTCCTCCGGGGCATCACCATGGAGGCGCTGCCGCCGACGAGGACGCCCGTGCCACATGCGAAGACCGTCCTTCCCGGCATAATAACCACTCGAAGCTCTCAGGACGTCGATCCATTTATCTACAACCCCTTTTTGAAAGCGGCCCGACACCGCGACAGTCGATCGCACCCTGGTGGCGGGCGAGCCGGCTTTCTTCAGGCTGACCCTCCAGAACCCCTACGAGATCGAACTCGAACTGGAGAGCATCCGGCTGGACACGGAGGGAGCCGAGTTTGAGTCGGCGGTGGAGACCACCGCCATTGGCGCGTACCGGACACAGATCATGAGGATATCCGGTACGCCCAAGAGTGCAGGGACGGTCAAGGTCACGGGCGCACTTATCAAGGCTCGCGGTTGCCGAGAGAGGAGATTCCCCATCTTTGCGGACCCCTGGGCGCCGGATGATGCTGTTAAAATCAAGGCGATCGGGCTTGGTGCCCTCGATGTGAATGCCGCGACTGTATCGCCTGCTATTGAGCGGCTCAGGCCGGATCATATCGAGCTCAATGTCATCGCCCCTCAGCCTGTGGTGGTGGTCAAGTCGTCGACGCTCCCGCAATCATCGGTCATGGTTCTCGAGGGCGAGCGCCAAACCTTCTCTGTCACGTTACAAAACCTCTCCACTACCACGCCGGCGGATTTCCTGCTCTTCTCCTTCAAGGACTCGACGCAGGAACCCCTGCAGTTGGCGCTGGGTAACCGCGACGCCACCGCTACGGAACTCTACGAGTACGAGCTCGTGCTAGCCAAGAAACAGCCCCTCCGGCTGAAAAATCGCGGCGACAGCAAGAGATTCATTGCTCCCGGCCAGACGGCAACTTTCGACTTCGAAATACTGGGTAGGCCGGGCCTCACGCACGGCCTCATCCAGGTAGACTACGCGCACATTGGCGTACCGCACGATGAGGTAGCCGAGAAGTTCTACACGCGGCAGGTATCCATGGAACTCACCGTCACCGTCAATGCCAGCATCGACATCACCCGCGTCGACGTCCTCCCGCTCACCGGCAGCATCCCAGCCCCGCTCTGGTCCCGCGCCACTAACAACAACCACGACCAATCCACCCCACCCCCCGACTTCACCGCCGACACCCACTGCCTCCTCCTCCTCGACCTCCGCAACTCCTGGCCCAGCCAAATGACCATCCACCTCTCCTCCTCCCCGCCCGCCGACAACCCATCCGAGACCGATACGCAACCAATCGAAGTCGAAGCACACATCTTGCCCGGCAACACGGCGCGCCTCGTGCTCCCCATCCGGCGCGTCTACCTCGAGGACCCGCACGCCTTCGTACCAGCCCTCAACCCGGCGCGCCAGCGCCAGTTCGTCGTCAGCACCAAGGTCGCCCCCGAGGCCGAGCGCCAGAGCCGCGAGGCCTTTTGGTTCCGCGAGCGCGTGCTCGACGCCCTGAGCGCGCGCTGGCGCACCGCTGCGGTGGCCGGCTCGGCTGCTGTGGCCGGTGGGAGGTGCAGGGAGGGCGAGATCGACCTGCGCGCGCTGCGCTTCTCGCCGCGCATGGTCGAGGCCGTCCGCGTCGATGAGGTGGATGTCGCCATTTCCGTGGTGGACCCCGCGACGGGCGAGCCGCTGGCACCCTCTTCCACTAGCAGCAGTACCAACACTGGGCGGTTCGCAGTTGACGTCGACGCCTTCCTACAACTACGCGTGCGCGTCACCAACCGCTCCGCCCGCCCTGTCTACCCGCTCCTGCGCCTCACCCCGGTGCTCTCCCACCGGCCCTTCAACGTCTCGCTCGACTTCACCCGCAAGATGGCCAAGTTCGCCTGGAACGGCAACCTGCAGCAGGCGCTGCCGCTGCTGGAGGGCAACGGCGGCGTCGCCGAGGTCGCCATGGGCGTCACGGCGCTGTGCAGGGGCGAGTTTGAGGTGCTCGGCAGCGTGGAGGAGGCGAGGCTGTGGGTGGATCCGGAGGAGGTGGCGAGGGAGAGGGAGAGGGAGAAGGAGGAGGGAGGCCGGAAGGGGGGGAAGTCGGAGGCGGAGGCGCAGGTTATGATTTTGGGCGCGGCGTTGGGGAAGCGGGAGAGGAGGGTGTGGCATGCGAGGAGGGGCTGTCGGTTGGTGGTGCGTGATCGGGTGGAGAGGTGAGCGGGCTTATGGGGGGGGGTGCTTGTGAGGGGCTGGTTGGTGGTGGGAAAAAGGGGGTGGGTGTATGTATAGAGTGGAGTGGATGGGTGTGTATATTCACGTATGGGGCATGAAGAAGTTGGCTTGGTGCTTTGGGTTGTAATGACGAATATATTAATGTTGTCCATGTCCGTCTGGCTGCTTGAGTCTATTCCCAATATTATGCCTGTTCTTGTCAGAATCGATGAGCCACATCATAGCGAGGGTATAGCCAAGCGGTTCATCCGTTCTCACAAGGACCATACTCGGGGGTTAGGGTTTATTGTGGCGGCTATGGTCGGGATAACCTTTTTCGTCACAGTTATCTCTCACTGCTCCGAAAGACTTCTTAACCTCTTCCTTGCCACTCACTTTTCATTTCTTTACATCTACTAGTGGAACGTAAATCACTGTACTCATTCATTACATACCGGAGTTTGCGAATTGTTTCATTTTTTGTTTATTTTATTTCGCTTTGAAAAGCCGATCCGAAGTCGGCCGGAGTGGCGTTCAAAGTTGCATGTGAGAGAACTCGGACTCGGAGGCTCGATCGGGGCCGGACTTGAATCTTCTTTTTCTTCGTCAACATAGGCCAAGATAACCCAGCCAGGGAGGGGCAAAACCGGCAGAAATGCACCGCCCACGCATCCTCTTCCTCGACGCCCACGACTCCTTCTCCAACAACATCACCTCCCTCCTCGCCACCCTCCTCGGCGCAGAAGTATCCGTCCTCTTCATCGACGACCCCCTTCTCACCACCGCCACCACGACCAATGGATCGCCCAACGGACTCAATGACCCACCCCCATCCGTCGAAAAAGACGACGACGACGACGAAGACGACGCCGCTTCCTCCCGCAAAGCGCGCTTCGTCGCCGAGCTCGCCCGGTACGACGCCGTCGTCTGCGGGCCGGGCCCCGGCAGCCCTGACACCCCGCCGACGTCGGCCTGATGCGCCACGTCTGGCGCCTCGCCGACACCGACCTGCTGCCCGTCCTGGGCGTGTGCCTCGGCTTTCAGAGCTTAGTCGCGGCGCATGGCGGCCGGGTGGGAAGGCTGAGGAGGGGGCTGCATGGGATGGTGAGGGAGGTGGTGCAAATTGGGGATGGTGGGGGAGAGGGTGATGTGTTTGTGGGGGTGGGGGGGTTTAGGGCGACGCTTTATCATAGCTTGGGTGGGGATGTTGGGCAGGGGGAGGTCGCGGAGGAGGAGTGGGAGACGGCGAAGTGGGAGGCGTTCGGTGCGTGTCCGGATTTGGTGCCCCTTGCGTGGGTGGAGGAGCAGCGCGAGGATACCGAGACGGAGAGGATCCTCATGGCTGTGAAGCACAGGACGAAGCCCTTCTGGGGCGTCCAGTACCACCCGGAATCGGTGTGCACTGAGGAGGAAGGGAACAAGGTCATCTTGAACTGGTTCCGTGCTGCTCAGAGTTGGAATGAGAAGACCGGGAGGGTGCCGAGGGTGGGCGGGCATGGGCTGGCAAGAACGGCGACAACGCCGAGTTTGCTTTCCCAACTAGACGGGTGGCCAACCGAGCAGGGCACCCGGCAGTGGTGGGAGGTGCTCGAGGCGAGCCCGGAGCTGCATTGTACCACGGTGCCGCTACCTGATGGCGTGCAAATACCGGATATCGTTGAGGCAGTCAGTTCCGAGTGTGCGGAGCGGATAGTCCTCGACTCGGCCAACGCCGCACCAGCAACGTCAAGGGCTGATGTGCGAGGGAGATACAGCATCATCGCCGCCGGGCTCGACGAGGCTTTGCGTATCGAACACCACGTTGGGGATTCCTACGCCACCATCAAGGTTGGATGTTTTGGGGGATCGCCCGTGAACCTCACGGACAAAATACCCCTCGACCAGGATCGGGATGTTTGGGCTCTGATCGCTGCCTTTCATGAGGCTCGACGTCTGTCCGCGACAGAGCCCTCGTACACTCCCTTCGTTGGTGGCTTCATGGGCTACATCACTTACGAACAAGGCCTGAGCCGTATTGGGGTTCCGCTGGAACAACCGCGCCCGCACCATCGGCCAGATGTGTCGCTTGCCTGGATCACCAAAAGCATTGTCGTCGACCATCTACAGCAGGAAATCCACGTCCAGCACTTGAGTTCCGGGAATCTGGAAAGGGGCAGCTGGATGGACAAAACAGCAGACAAGCTCCGATCTCTTCAGAACTCTCAGCGCAGGCCTTCTTTCAACAAACCAGCAATGGCGCCGTTGCCCCTACCGCTGAAATCTCGGCGTCCCTCGATGAGCGCATCTATTCAACCACCTCAAACGAAGGAGTATGAAGCCAAAGTTCGAATCTGCCAAGAATACATCGCGGCGGGCGAGTCCTACGAGCTTTGCCTCACCGATCAAACCACCATCATCCGGCCCCGGAGCGACACTCTCCCACGCCCTAACACCGCTTCCCTCCCACCATCCAACCCTCAGAAGCAGCAACAACACCTCCGCGTCCACCCCCCACCCTCACCATCCACCGTCTCCTCCTCCTGGGCCCTCTTCAAACGCCTCCGGCGCAACCAACCCGCACCCTTCGCCTCGTACCTCCGCCTCGGCGGCGCCACGCTGGTGAGCGCCTCCCCCGAACGATTCCTGACCTACGACCGGGGTGGGCGGTGCTCGATGCGGCCGATGAAGGGCACGGTGCGCAAGTCGGCGCAGGTGGCGACGCTGGCGCAGGCTGAGCACATCCTGCACGTGCCCAAGGAGGAGGCCGAGAACCTCATGATCGTCGACCTCGTCCGCCACGACCTGCACGGCGTGTGCGGCGCCGGCCGCGTGCGCGTGCCGGATCTGTTGCGGGTCGAGGAGTACCAGAGTGTCTTTCAGATGATTACCGTGGTGGAGGGCTGCTTGCCGCCTCCGCCGCCTCCTCATCCGGTTGCTTTCGTGGGAGGGGCGAAAGCCGCCCGTGGTGGTGGTGGGTATACTGGGTTGGATGTCCTCGCTGCGAGCCTCCCGCCGGGGAGCATGACGGGCGCGCCGAAGAAGAGGAGCTGTGAGCTTCTGAGGGAGATCGAGGGGCATAAGGAGCGGGGGCTGTACTCGGGCGTGGTCGGGTACATGTGTGCTACCGGGCGGGGCGACTGGAGCGTGACGATTCGGAGTCTGTTCCGGTGGGACGATGAGCAGGTTGTGGTGAACGGCGATGAGGGCCCGGAGACCCACGAGGTGTGGCGCATCGGGGCGGGAGGGGCGGTCACTATCCTAAGTACACCTGAGGGCGAGCGGGAGGAGATGTTTACGAAGCTCGCGGGGCCGTTGCGGATATTTGGGGAGGAGCCAGGCCGGGAGTAGTGGTAGCGGCTTGTTTTGGTGTCTCAACTGGTTTCAGGAAAAGGGGGGAACGAGACCGACATTCAACTTGTCTGGCGGCTGTTTGCAACACGGGGAGTACCGGCGTTTTTACTCATAGATGACTTGGGCCTCAACGGCGGAATTTGGGATACAAGGCTTTAACGCGTTGTGCATATGACATAGGAAGACGGAAAGCCAGGGGAATATAACTGCGCCGTACCTCCAGTTACACCTTTCCAACCCCGAATTCGCCTCAGTGATAACCTGCTGAAAACCACCGTCCCACCCGCTTAAAATATGCACTGATTAGAGCGCCCTAGCGTACACCGTATGCCGAGAAATGCCACCCCAAAAGCACTCCCCCTTGATATCGTACCCGGTCCCATCCGCCTATGTTCGACTCGCTCATACTACCTACCCCCAAACCCCCCAGTATCCCGCCCAGTCTTTAAAACTCCTGCTCTTCTTGAAAGAACATCGTAAAGCTGATGATTGTCCCGTAGATCAACAGCCCACCAATAATAGACATGACCATAGCCGGGATCGAGATGAGGTTCGAGTGCGCGAGCAAGACGGGCAACGCTACCGAGAATCACATTAGCAACCAAATTTCACGCAATTATCCCTCCACACCCAACACCGCCTTTCCCCCCAGGGGTAGACAAAAAAAAACCTACCAATACCCATCACCACCAAGAACCCCGTGCAAAACCGACCGAGATCAAGCACCGCCGCGCCGGAGCTCTCGACAAAGTCGTCCGGGTTCGCGCAGTGGCTGCAGATCCAGTTGGGCACGGGCGCCAGCACGTAGGTGCCGACGACCAGCAGCGGGTAGTACGAGTGCCAGAGCGCGCACGACAGGATCACGAGCAGGAAGCCCACGGCCAGCACGAAGGAGAGGGCGATTATCGTCTTGAGGCCGGCGGCTGGCATGGTGGGCGGTTGTGTGGGCGGTTGGTGAGGTGGTGGCGCTTGGGATCCCAAGGGATTTGGAGGGTTGGGAAGGCTGATCGATTGCGTGGGTTGGTTGAAGCCTCGGGAGGTTTGCTGGTCGCGAGGTCGAGGGTTGGGTGTATCAATCGGTGATGACGATAACGGAATTCGTTTATTACTCGTGGCTGGGTACCGTTTATGTAGTGTACGGTCTCGCTCTTCTAAGGACGCCGGTGTGCTCGTCGGGCGGCGTTGTGTTGGTGTTGGTGTGATGGTTGGCGGCTGGCGATGACGGCGGAGTCGCAGCTGTGACGAGCGCCCCGACGTCGTCAGCCTTGGCTGGTCCTGGTCCGGGTTGGGGTTAGCTTTGACCAGGGTCGAGGGCGCTGCTCGCCCATGCTCCATGGGGCTGAGAAGCGGAGCAGGGATTCACCTAAGCGGGGTTATGCAATACCGAGTTCCAGGTACCTGCCGCCTTGCCTGGGCGACGCAGCTTGGAGCTGCCTGGCGCTGTCAGTGGAACGAAGCTCCAAACCAAGCCGTAGCGATCCCCCAACATCCCATCGACGACCTGCACTTCGCAACGGCAAGCATCCTCTCGATTGATACCCGCTCAGGTGACCGAAACACAGATCACGCACGGTTTTAAACTGCAGCCGTCGCCATCATGTTCAGAAACAACTACGATAACGACTCGGTCACATTGTAAGCTCCAACGGTCCCCCGCCATGTCGGCCTTGGGCTGCGCTCCCGACCCCAACTGACAACCTTTCCTAGTTCACCGCAAGGGCGGATATTCCAGGTCGAGTATGCGGCGGAGGCAGTCAAGCAGGGCTCAGTGGTGGTGGGTATCGCAAGCAAGACACACGTCGTGCTGGTAGCAATCAAGGTGCGCAACCCCCGCCATCCAAGGTCAATGTATACCTCGAAGGTATATGTACGTTTGCTAACGTTTCGACCACCCAACCACAGCGCAACGCCGAAGAACTCTCATCCTACCAAAAGAAGCTGTTCCCCATCGACGAGCATGTCGGCATCGCCATCGCAGGCCTCACCTCGGACGCGCGGGTCCTATCCAACTTCATGAAGCAGCAGTGCCTTGGCCACCGGCTGACGTTTGGGCGCAGCATGCCCGTGCGGACGCTGGTGGAGATCATCGGCTCCAAGGCGCAGATCAACACGCAGCACTACGGCAAGCGGCCGTATGGCGTGGGCTTGCTGGTCGCGGGCGTCGACGACCACGGCCCGCACCTGTTTGAGTTCCAGCCGAGCGGCATGACCGAGGAGATGGTGGCCTTCGCGATCGGCGCCCGCTCCCAGATGGCGCGCACCTACCTCGAGAAGAACATTGACAAGTTCGCCGACTGCGACCGCGAGGAGCTGATCCGCCACGGCCTGCGCGCCCTCAAGGAGAGCTTGGTGCAGGACCGCGAGCTGACGATCGACAACACGAGCGTGGGTGTTTCGGGCGTGGTCAAGGCGGAGGACGGCAGCAGCAAGGTGGAGCCCTTCCAAGTGTACGACCAACAGGACGTGGCAGCGTGGATAGAGAGCGTGGCGGATGACAAGGAGGGCGGTGCGGGTACGGGCGAGACCGAGGCGGAGGGCATGGAGGTCGACTCATAAACGGGATAACCTGGAGATGCTCAAATACGGCGCCATGGTAGGGGAATTCTGTAACAACAGAGAGACTAGAGTCCTGGTGGCCCGGCATTGTCTTCAAGGGGAGCGCCCCGCCGACCAGCGTCAAGCCGAGGAGCCCCCCCCCCCCCCGAAAAGAAATTCTCGCATGGGTTGAGAGATTCAAAGCTCTATTCTACAACGCCCGCGCGTCGATTCTGTCTAAGTCCTACTGGTTGCCCCATGAAAGTTTGTATACCGCCTCCGAGACCTTGTATTCCCTCAAGGCCGTGATAGCATCCTCAGCGGTCTTCGCCTCGGCCAAGATGCGCTTGTTCTCCCCGTGGATAAACCCCTCCTCCACACTCTTGTTAATCCAAGTCAAAATCCCATCGTAAAACCCATTAATGTTGAGCACGCAAATCCCCTTGTTGTGAATCCCCAGCTGGTTCCAGGTCGCCGTCTCGAACAGCTCCTCGAGGGTGCCGTAGCCGCCGCTGAGCGCGATGAAGCCGCTCCCGGGCCCGGCGTCGATCACCTCCTGCGCCATCAGCCGCTTGCGCGTGTGCATGTCCTTGACGATGGTCGTGCGCCCAAAGACGGCCTCCTCGGGTACCGCCATGTGCGTGCCCGACGCCCCGTCCAGCTGCTTCGACGTGTACGTCGGGTCCCGCTCGTACCGCACCAGCGCCTCCGGGATGATGCCGTGCACCGAGTCCGGCCCGGAAAGGGAAACGAGTGTCTTGGCTACTTCGCCCATTAGGCCGACTGTGCCGCCGCCGTAGACTGCAGAGGAGGGAGGTTAGCATTGATATTTTTTATTTATTTTTTTTTCTCTTGTTGCGGGTGTTTAGGGGTTCTCCCTAGAAGTGTTGCGAACTTACCGAGTGCCATGTTGTTGGCGGCCATAACCTGGGCTAGCGCCCGAGCAGCTTCTACATGCTCCGGCTTGTTTCCTGCTGACGAGCCGCAGTAGACGCAGATCTTGGTCCGCTTGGGGGTGACGCTCGAGGGCGTAGAGGCGCCGTTAGATGCCATGATGGAAGTCTGTCAATGGGAGAAGGAAAGCGAAAAAGATGTCTTGGTGGTCTGGGAGGTCGATTCCTGCAGGAAGAGGAACTGGTGCTTTATAGGAGCGCGCAGTTTGTGTAGCTTCACTGGCCGAGTCCTTGGGCATTAGAGAGATAGGTGTGCCACGTAGTTGTCCCTCGGTGGTCAATGATCAGTCACGGGTACTGTGGGAGGCTGGCTGGACTAAGACCGGTTGGACAGGACGCCTGCAGAGTTTCAGATTGGCGAATATCGAGATTGTGGGCGCGTGGCGGGTCGCTAACTATATCAACTGAGGATGGAATGGAACAAGGAATAGAAAACCGTCACTGGAAGACGGGAGGGCGAACATTCCATTGTTCAGCGTTGCCTTATATACCACCAGACCTACCCGACGCTACCCTTCCGTGACTCTTGTTCATCTCTTGTTGCCGCCGCAGTCGCGACTAATGGGTCATCCTATACCGGACCTGACCCACCCCTCCGTGGACCTCGATGGGGGGGCCGACGGTATGACATAATGGCACCCCGCCCAACGAATCGAAATCGCGAAGTTCCTGACCAGGGGGTGTGACCTCGAGAAACCAAGAAACCCGAGTGCCGATGTCCGACAACGGAATCCCGTGAGGAACGTTTGAGCAGGCTGGAGTCAGGAACAGTTCCCTTTGCGGTGCCACAGTCACAGGATTCAACATTTCAAATCGGGCAGCTGCAGGCCAATGATGCGGGGCCTGAAAGCCCGTGGTTGTGATGTGGAATCGGATGGACCGGTCGGGCCAAGAGCCCGAAGCAATAGATATGTGGGGCGTAATGGGCCGACAACTTTTACATGTGGACGATTTGAAGACTCATTTGGCGGTGGAGAATAACTTTCAACAGCGGTGTCAGAAAGTCGGAAATATGACGGAAGGGAACAATAGCTAAACGGGGCAAGGAAAGAAGCAGAATCCGAGGAAATTGGCCAAAAAAAGGGACTAGAGTGTCCAGACGAGGGTACTTTCACGGTCTTGGCAGGTCCTCCGCACCGTGTTCATACAGTCAATTCGCACTGATCGGAGCCCCTAATTTCTTGTGGACACAGGGCCTCTCTCTCCGGTTGATCATCAACAAGCTTCCTAAGTTCTCGCAGAACGACCGGAAAGCGAAAACAACGCCTGGGCTTCTCGGACAATTCGCCAGGATGCCCGAGACAACCGGGGAAGCAGGCGGCCAGCCTGCACGGCAGGAAGGCCAAAATGTACGTGGTTCCTGGTTCGTCTCGAATGTCCTAGTTTGGAAGAGGAAGGCTGACCTTTGTATTTGCGACAGTCCATCTTCAGAACGCTCATCCAAGGCGTAGCCATTTACATGGCTATGCAATTTGCGATGAAGCAGTTTATGGGGGGCCCCAAAACCACCACAGTTCGCGACGTCAATGGCAATACGGCCCAGGTTGTGACGTCGAGTCAAGTTCCCCCGTACAACGAACGGCCGCCGCGTTTGAATGACGGCGCCTCCTACAATCAGATTCCGCAAATGGTAGCCCCGATCTGGCCCGAAGACAGCGCAGTCGACATCGTCGTAACCGTCTCGCCTACATTTGGGCTTACGCCGCTCAAGGACCACACCAGGGACGCAATAGTGTTTGAGGAGAAGAAATTTCGGATTGGGAATTGGACCGACAAGCGTACCGCAGAGGGCATTATTCATGTTCCTACGCCTGTTCAACATAACGGCACGCTTTGGGGCCATTTTTACATCGGCCTGTCAGGAGCGAACCTCGATCCGACACAGCGAGGCTACGACCCGGCCTCGGCTTATCACTTCGTCTACCCTTTGACCCAGTACATTCCTAAAAAGAAAGAAGCCAAAACGAGGAGCCTTTTGGGAGACCAATCGGAGGTTGCCGATGAGCCTGCCAACGACGAGCCCGAGCAGTCCGGACCCATCATTGCGAGCTACTACCACCCGAACGTGTCGCTATCCTTCATTCCGAACTCTGGGGTCTTCTCGTTTCCCCAGTCACATCCAGCAGTTCGCCAGTTTCTGCGCCTCGAACAAACTGGCGCGCGGGACGGCACGGGTCAAAACTCGTGGTACTACCCGATCCTCTTCGTGAACACGTTCTGGCAACTGAAGACTCACATGACGGCCCTGAACGACACGGTTAAAACCTTGCCTATTCGCATTGATCTCAACAACTTGGCCGAGTGGAAGTTCAAGACCATGGCGTCCATTGACATGAGCGGCAAGGAGTCAGCCCGCCAGGCCGCCTATGGGAATTCGCTACCGGGTGGCGGCGATGGAAGTGAGATTGAGATGATCAAGGAGATTTTCATCGACACCAACCCAATCCTCCTCAGCATCACTGTTGTCGTCAGTATTGCGCACATGATTCTTGAGACGCTGGCCTTTGGGTCCGACATTGCGCATTATCGCAAGAAGAAGGACAACGTGGGCATCTCGGTGCGGTCCATCCTCGCCAATGTCTTCATGCAGCTGGTGATTTTCCTCTACTTGATCGACCAGTCCCAAAACACGAGCTGGATGATTTTGGGCGGGCAGGCCGTCGGCATCGTCATCGAGCTCTGGAAGATCACGACGGTGGTTAATGTCCGGGTACGCCCGGCTCCGGGGTCCATCATCCCCTACCGGGTATCCTTTGAGGACAAGCACAAGCTAAGCGAGACCGAGGAGAAGACCAAGGAGTACGACGAGATCGCCTTCAAGTACATGTACATTGCCGGCGTCCCCCTACTCATCGCCTACGCCGTCTACTCCCTCATCTATGAGACGCACAAGTCGTGGTACTCGTACGTCATCACGACCCTCGTCGGCTCCGTCTATGCCTACGGCTTCCTCATGATGGTGCCGTCTCTCTACATCAACTACAGACTCAAGAGCGTGGCCCACATGCCGGCCAAGGCCATGATGTACAAATTCCTCAACACCTTCATCGACGACCTCTTCGCCTTCACCATCAAGATGCCGTTCTTGCACCGTCTGGCGACGTTCCGGGACGACATTATTTTCTTCGTCTATATTTACCAACGATGGGCGTACAAGATCGATTATACGCGGGTCAACGAGTTTGGCCAGGGCGGCGATGACGAGCAAGAGGCTGAGAAGGAGGCAGACAAGAAGGAGAAAGAAGCTTTGCCCGCTGGCCCGGCCGGGAGCACTGCCAAAGCCACGGGCGCCCACGCACCCAAGGCGACTAAAAGGAAGTAGGGACGTTTGGCTAAATCGAATGAGCGAAAAAAGGGAAATACCACGCTAAGCAATACAACTCTATCTTGCCCTTCCCATCTCTTTTCATCATCCATTGCCGGTATTACGTTTGCTTGACTGAGCGATGTGGATCGCCGCCGAAGACGAGCCGATGTTGCACATCCGTTCGGGACCTACGAATTCCGACTGCCCCTGAAAGCCTCGTAGGGCTGAACGGCACAGTTCCTGGTTGTGGAAGACATCAACCTCCCATTGGGCAACGTGCCGCTTTTCAATCAGAGCGCACCCTCACTTTTGGGGGCGTTAATTCGGCATCTGCCCAATCTAAATCGCGTGTTAACAGTTTGTCCCCCAACTTGCAGAAATCGAGCTTTGATGTAACCATGAAAACCGTTGCACTTGCGTCGGCTAGTTTCGAGGTGCAGGCCTGCCGATCCCTCCCCCGACATTAGAGTTAGCGTGATGCCCTGCTGCTTCGGGCAAGCACCCTGCGAGTGTTCGGAGGTACCTTGAACGCAGATTCCTCCACAACCTGCCACCTTGTTCACCTACTATTCCTGTTTTTTCAAACGGGATAGAATCGAGACTGGGGGGCCAACTAATGGCATCAGCTCGAATAAGTTTTATTGAGTTTTAGAGAGAAAACAAGGCGTAGGCCACTGTGTCTCAAAGAGGTAGTACTTCGTACGGCTGGCGTAGCGAGGCCGCCGAACACTCCTCCCGTCCCTGCCCACGGTCACGCCAAGACAACCTTATCCCCCGGCGACCCTCCCAGAAGCCGGCATCAGCGCCGAACATTCGCCCAGACCAAACAAGACACCTGGTTCTGCAGCAATTGTCCCCGGAAAAGTACGGTCCGTTGACTTCAGGAGGTAACAGGAACCATTGCACATACAAGCATTTTGGGAAAAAACCACACTCGGATTCTACCCAACTAACGACAAAAAGTTACCTAGAACGAGCACTGGCGAGCTACCCAGAGATCGGCATGCAGGGCTGAGCTGAGTGTCTCTCGACCACGCAAACAACCCAACCAAAATTAGGGGAGACGAAACGTCAAAAGCAACGGCAGCAAGGAGGGATAGCCAGCAGGCAATGAGCAGCGGCGCGGGCCGCGACAGCAGGAAGGGTAGCCTGGGAAGCATCGACGGCAGCAGCCATGAAGCCCAAACCGTCGGCACCCTCCTGGCCGCCATCGCGAGGTGCCTAACCGAGGCCGTGCGCATCCTCATGTTTGCCGACAAACGGCAATGGGGACCCGACGAGTTCGAGCAGACCCGGGTGCTCGAGGAAGCCCTCGACGAAGCCAAAAAGGACTTTCAAGAGATGGCACCGCTCGTACACGGGCAATTCTACTATGAAAACGACCGAACCCGTGAGTACAACCCCCCCCCCCTCTCTCTTTTACCCGCCACCACCCCCCCCTTTCACCCACCACCGCCTACCCACCAACCAACCAACCAACCCCCAACTAACCCCGCCCTCTCTATCTCCCCCCTCTGCAGCCGAATCCCTGCACGCCCTCCAGACGCTCCTCACGCGCTTCCAATTCCACACGCAAAACTTTCGCGACTGGGCGCGCCAGGGCGGGCCCATCAACCCGACCTGGGCCCGCGAGACCGCCCACAAGCGCCGCGCCCTGCACCGCGCCCAGTGCCGCGCCGCCGCCCGCATCTTCGCCGCCACCGCCGCCGAGCAGGAGGGCCCCGCCCGCTGCCTCGGCGCCTTCCACGTCCACCGCCGCCTCAAGCGCGCCCAGGCTGCCCGGGAACGCATGCCCGTTTGGCAGAGGGGGGAGCTGGGTTCTGGTAATAGTGGTAGTGGGGGTGGTGGTGGTGGGGGGCAGGGGTTGGAGGCTTCGCGCCGGGCGGGGGATTTGGAGGTGGCGGCGGAGGCGGCGGCGGGAAGGGGGGAGGGTGATGATGTTGTTGGTGGTGGTGGTGGTAGTGCTGCTGGTGGGCAAGAGAACGCAACGCTGGGGAGGAGGCGGAGTTTGGAAGAGCTCGTGCCGAGTTGTAACGAGGTGGGGCGGTTCCAGGTGCTGGGGGAGTCGCACGACGCGGCGTTCGTCTGTGATTACTGCGAAGGGTTCATCGTCTGGCCGGACCTGTCTAGCATACCGTCGGAGCGGATGTCGCTGGCGCCGACGGCCGTGACGGGCTACCCGCACTGGCAGGCCAAGGGGATCAGCTCCGATAATGGGGAGGAGAAGGTGGTCGTGTTCGCGCCGCTGGCGATCGCGAACCATATGCCGCCGGAGCCCGGGGGCTGGCAGGCGGGGCTGATATGCCCGTATTGCGAGGAGGCTACGTACCTCGACGAGGGAGAGGACAGCTCCGAGCTGAAGTACGTTCAGGACGAGAGTGGGTTTCCGGATTTGGAGGCGTTTCGGGAGCATTTGGAGTGGTACCACACTGCTATGCCGGTGCCCCCGATATCATCTTTGGCTTCGACGCTGCCATCGGCGTCAAACTGCAACGTTATGTAAGGGTACTTGGCGTTAGTTGGTTTTGGAGTGAGTCGGTCTGGGGTGAAGCACGGAGTTTTAGGACGGGTAGGTTCAAAATGGTTGGGGCAGGTTTCTCAAGATACACAATACTATTACTAGACCCAGCAGGTCAAACTGCAAACCAGGGAAAGCACCGAGGGTTCGGCATCATACCCCATCCGTGACCGTCTAATATTTAGTTCATACACACATCAACCAAGCATACACACAAAGCAACGGCATAGCCGGCCGCTGAATTCCATACCCGAACGCCGATGCTGAGGCCGAAAACAAAGCAGCCCTGCCCTGTCCAGCAGCAAACCACCACTCTCCTACCAATCCTGCTCAAAAGAATCGCCACCACAGGAACCCCAGGATGATCAGCCCGAGTGCCCCAAACGGCCCGTATTGCTTCAACATCAAGTCCCAGTTGATCTTGACGGCCGCCTTCCTGTACTTCTTGCTGTCGTCCCGCAACCTACTGCTTAGCTCCCCCATGCGCTCCAGGCTATCCCCGCGGTACAACAAATCCTCAATATTCTTGGTCATGACCTTGGTCACGTCGCGCAGCTCGTCGTTCAGCTTGTCCAGGTTCTGCGTGGCGCGGGCGTCGCTGTAGGTGGCCTTGGTGCGGCTGATGAAGGTGTCGAACTCCATGAAGGCGTAGGGCCGCAGCACGGGGCTGAGGAGCTGCTGCGCCGGGTAGGTGGTCGAGAACTCGGTCGCCAGGTCCGACAGGTACGTGAAGGCCAGCTTGCGCGGGTACGTCCGGTCCGTGATGGCCACGTACACGATGTCGGCCGCGATCAGGTAGTGCAGCGTGTACGCCCCGCTCTCGATCGACGCCTGCGGCTCCGAGTTGCGGCTCAGCCGCCGCAGGATCAGCTTCACTTGGGATTTTACTTCCGAGAGGGCTTGTTCGGACTCGGAGTCGTCGACGGAGGCGCAGAGCATGAGGCCTGGTGGTTGGGGGCTTTGGTCAGTATGGGTGCCTTTGGGGATGTGGTAGGGGTAGGGGTGAGTAGGGCTGGTGGTGATGGGGTCATACCGTCGAGCCTCGCAATCTGTGTTGAGCGAATCATTTTGAATCGAGTGTGTGTGGTGTGGTGTGTTGTGGTTGGGGGTTGGAGTTGCAATCGTCAACCGTAGCTCGGCGTGGTTGTAGGCGGCCACCAAGGTATCGAAGTACAGTAACGTGGCTTTTCAAAACAGCAATGGTGTCGTCATCAGAAGGGCCACAGCTTGGCAGACAAGAGTGGGTTCTAACAAGATATATCAAAGCAACTGTATTCGTTTCAAGCCGAATTGTCTTTCCGTGGAGACCTTGTGCAATTATCTTGTCAACGGCGTCTGTTTGCCAAGTTCCGATCGAATCGCTGGAAGTGGAAAAGGAGCACAGGCCTGCCGCCTGCCTCGATGTTGAGCTCCCCTTGTCAAGTGGGCCTCGGAGGAGCCAAGAAGCAAGGCTGGCCAATCCTGGATTTCTCTGCATTTCAGGGGTCTCACAAACGGAGCATGCTTCCATCACCCCATCACAGCTCATTCAGCCTTGTAATCGAGGCTGGACATTGTACCCCCCCTCACCTCGGCCACTTCGACCACCCCAAACCCGTCTCGCACGGATCTAGGTTGCTAGTGCCCAACTTTGTTATTGTTGTTTGGCGTCTGAATAAATAATACCTCATCTCACTGAGAACTCTATTTAGAAACTGAACCCTCAACAACTCCCAACTTCTATTTATTTAACTGCTGACTTGTTCCGCGACATTCTTTTATTTCACACTTACCGACCTCACCCATTTTGGTTGCTGAAAGTGACAGTTCGAATTGGTGGTTCTCAGGGCGTGGATCCAAGACTTGCCGTCTTCTCCTGACAAATCTTCTATCTTCCGTTCGCACAAATTCATTACCTCAACCGCATCAAACAACATCCCACATTCGCCATGTCGGAGGGACTGCCCAGCAGCCCGCTCTCCTCACCTCCGGAGAGCGTCGTTAACGTCCGCCTCGGCAGCCCGGTTAAGGATGATAAGGCATCGCCCGTCTCAAGCAACCATGTGGAATCAAAGGTTGAGACCGTCGCTGAAAACGTCGTAATCGCGAAGCAACCGACGGCCAGCCCCGAGAGGAAAGTGGAAGGGGAGAAGAAGCCGCTTTCTCACGACTCCGATGAGAGTGGCCAATCCAGCGTCCAAAAACGCAAGGCCAGCATTTCCAAGAATCCAGCTTCGACGAAGAAGCCCCGTCACGCCGCCCCCGCCGCGCGCAAATCTGCCCAGGATAAAAAATGGGAGGCGCCGTTTGTGTTCACAGACTCGAAATCCCCGCTCGTGAACGCGGATTTAAGAGTGAGTATTATCCTCACGCTTTTACGTCTCTCATAGCTGCTGACACCGATTATCAGGCCATTCTCCTGCACCCACTGGCTTGGGACATCCTCACTCCAGAGGAAAAGCAGGATGTGTTGGCCAAGTTCCCAGACGAGACCCATCTCCTGGATGTCGGCACTCAAGATGCTCGCCCAAACCCGGTCTCGCTGCGCAATGATGATAATTTTCGGTATGACTGCGCTCGCTACTGCGAGAATATTCAGCTTGGCCGGCACGACGAAGAGTGGTTGAGCCAGGCTTGGGTTGCTCACGAGAAGCACAAGCGGGGTGATTACGACCAGTTTCTTCGGGAGCGGTTTGAGGACGAGTGGGAAACCAAGCTGCCAGCCGAACACTAAAACCAAATATCCCGAGTCGGACGAGGGGTTGGAGCAGGAAGCGACAAAATCAAGCGAGGGATCCCCTCTCGATGCCGAAGGAAGTACAACACCCCGGCCAACGCGGCGGTCGACCCGATCACTTCAGTCCACCCCTAAAAACGACTCTCCTCGAGACACCCGCGATACCAAAATCCACAGTGTGGATACAAAAGGTAGCCAGGCTGAGGCTGCAAGCGGCGGCTCGGAATCACCTCGACCCATTGACTCGTCGGAAATGTTCTCAAATGACCCCCCCACAGCTTCAGAAGAGCAAAAAGCCTCCCCGTCCACTGTTCTTGCTCGATCCGATTAGAAGTCGGACGAGCCATCCGCAAAGGACGATGAAAGGGGAATTTCCAAAAGAGTGCGACAGCCGAAGAGACGGGGCCCGGAGGTGACGGTAAGACGATCGCCTCGAAAGGCCCGGGGGGGTAAATCTGGGACCATTAGGTCGGTATCCGACCCCGTTTCGCGATCTAAGGGGACGCTGGTCGTCGAGATTCCGCAATGCCGTCGGTCGCGGGAAAGCTTGTGATGTCATCCCTACGAGGGCTCATGCTACTTTTCCATTGTCATCCGTTTGGATCACCAACTGGCTAAACAATACAGTGCACGAGATGAATGAAAGCAACAGGATATTGCATTTTAAGAGGAAAGGATGCGGTTATGGGATTACCGCAGGAGTTGGTGTTGTCGGAATAGCATGTACGAGATACCCCTTTTGCCAGCATGACTGGACAATCGATGTGGGAGAACGGAAACCGCCATGGCCCGTAGACGGGTACCATGTAGGAAAATAAGAAAATCGAGCAGATTTAATACTTCGGCCTTTTCCAAGGGTTTCAAGTTGTTCCCTGGTGCGTTGCAGCAGCTTTTGATAGAGTGGGGGCTCCATTCATGCATGTTAGTGAAAATTACATACCAGACGCAAAAGCGATGACTCGAGCGCAATGATTTGTTCATCCCAACTCATCATACATAAATAACTTTACACTTCTGATAAACTCACGTTTACACTCCCCACCGGCCCATTCTCAACCATATAAGCGGGCATATTCATACTCTAAATCACCTTGCTTGGACCATGGCACCTTCTGCGCAGGCGCACAAACGGGCTCATAGCCTGTTGCTTTTTGAGAAGCTGCTCAACCTCCGAGACAGCGCCAGCCCGCTCACCCTCATCCTCGATACCTTGGAACAGAGCGCTGAGCCTCTTCTGCATGAATTTATGAGAAGGGCGAAGGTGAATTCAATTACCAAACCCGTCGTTTAAGGAAACTTCGCATTTAAGCATTGACTAACGCATCACAAGCTGGAACGTGCCAAAATTGTCTTCGTTTCCTTTGCAACAATAAAGAAGCCCGCCCTCGCCGACATCTTCATTAGAGCTCGCGGCAAGAGCCTCAAAGCGATCGCAGCGGAGATCACTTCACATGTAGCGCCCCCGCGGCCCGGCACCACCAAGGACACAACCCCTCCAACCCAGAGTACGTCTCCGCGCCCTTCCATCCCATCCCTCCTCACCCACAACCCCCAACCACCAACTAACCCCCCCATTTTCTTCTTCTTTCAGAAGCCCTCATCCTCCTCGACACGCTCAACCCCGCCTCCTCGCAAACCCCCACCCTCCTCCCCGCCTTCTTCGCCACCGCCATCCCCCCGACCGCCTCCCTCGTCGCCGTCTACCACACCGACGTCCCCACCTTCCTCAACCCAACTGAGCAACACCAGTACCAGTACCACCCCGACCCGCTCACCCTCCTAACCCACCTCGCCACCACCATCTTCCGCGTCGCCAACCTGCGCCAGGCCGTAGTGGCGCGGCGCGCGCGCGAGCGCAGCCTGGCCGCGCCCGAGTGGGGGCTGCGGGAGGGGCGCGAGGGCGTGTTGGTAGGGCTGCGGGAGTGGGAGGGGGGTATGGGTATGGGTGTGGGTGTGGTGGTGGAGATGGAGATGCGTAGGCGGAGTGTGCGGGCGATGGCGGAGAGTTTTGTGTTGAGTGTGCCGAGGGGGGGAAGTAGTGCAGGTGCTGCGGTAGTGGCGGTGATTATGGGGGATCATCCTGAGTTTAGCGGGGCCGTCTGCGGGAGATGACGGGGCAGGTGTGGAGGAGCAGATGCAAGCTTCAGTCTTAACTTCGGTTTGTCATCCAAAGCAGAGGATTGTATCATGAGCGGGTGTGTGCAGCAGAATTTTTATGAGCAGAGAGATGAAGGGATCGGGTAGAGCGGGAGAATTCTTGTATGACATGGAGAGCGATGACCATTTAGACGAGAAACATGATGAGATTTAGGGGGTGTTTTAAGCTGCCCTCAGAGCAGCAAGTATCATATGATTATCCTGCTACTACTCATGTTGGTTTCGCATAACCTGGGTATCAACGCTGACGATATACACCTCCTCCAATCATCCCCCGGCCTCGGCCATTACCTACTTGGAGCGAGAGGCCTTCTAAACCCCCCCTGGCGGTTCATATACTGCCTATACTCCGTCTTTTTCTCCTTCCTTACAGTCCCCACATTATTCCCTATCACCTTCTTATTCTTTGTGGTGCCGAACCCTCCGAACCCCATCATGGCAGCCATGTCGTCCAGACCGTCATCCTCAACCATGACATCCTCCTCTTCGTCCTCATCCATAGGTTCTGCGTCAAACCGCCCTCTGGGTTGGTGCCGGTCTCCGTCGTCGTGGTGTCGCTGCTGCTGCTGCTGCTCCTGGCTGTTTTCCCGTGTCGATGTGGACTGCTGTTGTGTTTCGGGGCCGTGGCTGCCGTCCCGGCCCTTGACCTTAAAGGAGACGGGTGCCGTCGGTGTAGAAGCGGCTGCGCTGCTCGGTTTTGAGCGTGTGGGGAGCTGCGGGTGTTCGTCACTGTCTAGATCTGGGCCTCGCCTAGGGCTGGCTACATGGCGCGGTGATTCTGTGGTGTTGCGACCGTCCCTATCGCGTCGCGGTTTGTCTAGAGAGTTACGACCGTTAGTGTCTGAAAACGTGTAAGGAATGGAGGGGGTAATACCTCGTTCTGAACGCTCCATATCACCTCTTACGCTCCTGTCCCCGCGCTCTCGTTGCGGTTCTGTCCGAATGTCCTCGCGCCGTCGGTGGTGGCCCCGGTCTCTTTCCTTTTCCCTTTCTCTGTCTCGGTTCGCATCTCGCGACGCGTAACCTCGATCGCGACCAGGAGAGCGGGAGCGGCGGCGGTTGCCTCGGTCTCGAGAGCGCGACCGATACCGCCGATGGTCTCTATCCCGATCTTTGTCCCTACCGTGATCACGGGTAGAGTTTTGGCGCCGGCTGTTATCGTCGCGCTCCCGACCTCCATCCCGATCACGCCGCCTGTCCCTACTATCGTACGAAGGCCTTTCGCCCCCACGGCGGGATTGCCCGTCTCGTCGGTCGGCCATGGTAATTGCGAGCGGTGAGGGAAGGGAATATGTGTTGATAGCCGAGAGACTAGACGGTGAAAGATGACGTCTGGTGGACAAAATTACAGGCGAGGTGCGGCTGAGATAAGGCGTGTGCAGGGTTGGAGCTGGCTGCGGGAAGGCCTGAAGCAGCGGGGAGTTGCAGCATGCATGAGCGGATGATAGGCAACACAGGGTTAGGGTTAATATATTGCTCGAATATTTTCCAAAGACCAGGCCCAAGCTCATTTTGACGTTTACGGCAGTTCGCAGAGCGCAACTTCCTTGCAACATCACGGTTGGGGCCACATAATTTATGGTAAATAAGTCTCTTCTTCAAAGCCTCTCTTGTTTCCTCAAGTATCGACCCTGCCCACTCGCCATCTACAACGTCAAGAACATCACATCAACCTCTCTCATATTCTCATCACTACCAGCAACATGGGCGAGAAATCAAAGAAAAAAACCAAAGAGCCCAAAGAAGAGGCTGATGTCACCACAATTTCGGCTGATGTCTATGTCAAGGAGAAAAAAAAGAAGTCCAAAAAGCCAAAGGGCGACAAATCGGATCTTCCAGAGGCAGACGCTCCCGTGACTGCCGGATTTGAGGAGCTGCCAGATACGCCTGCCAAGACTAAGAAGCGGAAGAATAAGGATGGCAAGCGCAAGCGGGAAGTGGCCGATGCGTTGATAGAGACTGTGACTCCGGTCGAGGCCGAGGAAGCTGAGGTGGAAGTTGAACCTCCTATGAAGAAGAAGAAGGACGGGAAGCTCGACGGTGATGGGAAGTCGGAGAAGAAGGAAAAGAAAAGGAAGAGCAAGGAACAGAAAGGAAAGGTGGTGGAGGGTGACCTTGCTGAGGAGGCCACAGCCGAAGAGTCTCAGGAGGCGGAAGTCGAAGACGGCAAGAAAAAGAAGAAGGACAAGAAGGAGAAGAAGTCCAAAAAGTCCAAGAAGGCTGCCGAGCCGACCGAGCCTCAAACTACTGAACCGACTGAGGAGGAACACGAGTCTGAGAAAAGGGAAAAGAAAAAGCGCAAGCTCAGGGACGAGGATGGGGATGAGGAAATGGCCGATATCGCCGCGGAGGAGACCCAGGCCGAGGAGAAGGACGAGGCTCCGGAGGGGAAGAAAAAGAAGGACAAGAAGGCGAAGAAGGAGAAGTCCAAGAAACGCAAGACGACAGACACACCGGCGGAGACTCCTGAGAAAGAGGCTCCGGCCCCCGCACCCACGACGGCCCCCAACGCAGATCTCACCGAACGGTGGAACGTCCATGGTCTTGGCGGCGGTGCCTCGCGCCAAAGCAAGTTCATGCGGCTCCTAGGTGGGAAGAAGCATGGCGTTGAAAGCGCAGGCGAAGCAAAGGACGGTCCCCGGAAGCGGTTCGATATTGGGCACGTCTCGCAGGAGCTCGAGAAACAGTTCGACGCCGGCATCCAAATGAAGTTTGGGGGCGGTGGTCAACGCAAAGGACTGGGTGCTTGAGGCGAAGCACAGAATATCGCTTTTTTCCGCTGCTAAGGGCTGTGAAAGACGCCATCCAGGTGTGAATGGCAAGTAGTTTAAACCCTACCGCCGCCGCCTGTAAATTGTCGGCAGAATGATATCCGCTAATAAAATCAAAGCCTCATTACTCCGAACAAGACCGAATGATGGTACATGTTTGTGGTCAATTGACTCGACCCCGAACTCAACCCAGTGTCAACGGGACCTCCCTGCCTCGCGCAAAGCTCTTGTCTGCTGAGCCGCGCGGTTGGCCCACGGCAATACGTTTCCGGCGTACCCTTCAGTTTATTAAGTGATTTATAGAGATATCCAACCGATCATCGGAGGAAGATGCGCGAGATGATTTCGAAAACAAGACCGCCGAAGACGACGAAACCGAGGAGGACTAGGGTTCATTAGGGTTAGTGGATGGTTGACCCCCCGGGTTCGATTGTGGTAGGAAAACAGGGAAAGTTCGTACTCAACCAGACTGGGGAAATAGGGGACTTGGGCACATCCTTGGTCCGCTTCTTGATCTGCTCCTCCGACTTGCCCATGCGCGCCTCGTTCCCCTTGGCGAACTTGAGGTTTGCCCTCCTTTGTTGCGGTGTTTGGGCCTGCGGGGGTGGTGTTAGTACAAGATCGGAATGCCTTAGGTTGGTGAATAACACCCGTACCATTGTGGAAGATGTATGTGGTGAAGATAGGAGGTGGGACGGGAAGCGTCGAGTATCGCGAATCCGGATGTGGCGAGCAATGAAGCGTTCGAAGTTGTTCAAGGAGTGAGCGCCAAAGGTTAGCAAGCCCAATTAATCGCGCTGTTCGTTCGGAGATTGGGGAATGCTTCGTCAAGTTGAGAATGGGAGAGTTTGAGTTTCGTTAGTTAATTCCCAAGAAATGGGACAGATTGCAAGCTCCCGCTTCTGGCCATCTGTCGTTGACGGCCCATGCAGCTGAGGTGGGCCGCCCACCTGGCCCCTTGCTCGTTTCGGCAAGTGGATAACAAGGGTGCCACGGGAATGCAGCGGATCATGGGCAGGCCAATGAGAAACCCGTTGGAATGTTGCAGATCACCGCGCTTGGCAATGCCTGCAGCCTTGTTCATCGGCGGGAATTGACTTCGAAGTTGATTTGACCGCAGTTGGAGCCTACCAGGACGGAATAAACCGCAAGACACGAAATACCGAATACCGACGGCATTGGAAGACAAACCGAGCACCCGCTCGCCTCATATCAGATCACAATCCCACGATGCTCCCTCCGTTTAGAACAGCCCTTGTCAAGGCATCATCCCGCCAAATCCCGTCTCTCACTCACCCCCAACTAAGACAATACTCCTCCAAACCACCATCACCAACCGTAAATCCCCCTCCCTTCCAACACCCTACCCCACCCCCTCAAAACGCCACCGAGGCCTGGGTCCCTTTTAACTAACCACGCTACACCCACTCACAGGGCGCCTTTTACAAGACCTTCACCCGGCCCGTAGCCAAGTGCGCCCTCCTGGCCGTGTTCGTCTACCAGCTCGTCTATTTCGGCTGGGCTAAGCTGGAGGCAGAGGATATCAAGGAAGAGAGGCAGGGTGAGTGAGGAGTCGGATCGGCCCGATGTCAGCTCTCTTTCTTAGCAGAGTTTTTTTTTCTTCCGTTACCCGTCCCCCCGTTGATCGTTCCCAATTCTGTTCCCTGTGCCCAGTTTGTCTCGTCCCGTGTCGTGCTTTGCTGACTTGAGCGGTACTAGCTGAGATTGTGAGACTAGAGGCGCAAGTTCGGGGGTTGGAGGCTGCTCGGATTGCTGCGGCGGCAAAGGCTAGCACTCCTGGGGCAGGAAGTGGTGAGGAGGGTGAGACTGTCGGGACTGGTAAAGGGGAGGGAAGTAAACCGACAGGGGGCTCTTGGTGGCCCTGGAAATAGCATCGCTGTGAATGAGGCGGGGTTTGGGTTTGGAGAGATGAGGAGTAAGGATAGTTGGCCGAAGCTTGTTGAAAAGTGACGGGAACGGGCACGATCGAGAACAGGGAAAAGACGGCAACGTATGGAATCGATCTGTATTATACACTCTGTAAACATTGACGGTACTTTATACAGATACCCTCGGATGATTCAAGGGCAACCAGCTGTGGCTACCACAGACCCTAGGATCGACCTAGTCGCCGTGACATCGACCTCCCGATGACTCTTAGCGTATCGAACCAAGTCTTACCCACCAGCCTCAAGTGTTTCGGTCTATGGTAACCCGACGCCCAACAACACCAAGCCAACCAACCCAGGAAGCCCCAACGCCAGGCCCAGCTAAAGGGGCCACAATGCCGCCCACCCATTCCCATGCCATTGATAACTAGCCCACACCCACGCACACTAATCATACGACCAACAGCCCGACTACCATCACCGCAACCATGACCCCCCAATTCACCACTGCTCTCCCACCCGCAGACGGGAAGTGCGCTGACCCCGGAAAATTACACGTCAGCCCCTTGGACGGATCATGCCTCTCATAGTTGCCCTTGAACCCCACCCCGCCGGGGAGGGGACAGCCGAACCCCAACGACGCCGGACAGCTCTGCACCAGCTTGTAGCAGAGGTCGTCGCACGGCAGGACCTCCTTGTACGGGCCCGGCTTGATCACGTCATCGATGCGCGGGTTGCGGCTGTTGGTGAAGGCCCTGCTATCCGGAAACGAGGCCAGGGTGGCCGCGTCGAGGGTCTCGCCGTCGGGGAACGGCTGGCGGACGGCGCGCGGCTGCAGGTAGTCTGCCGTGTTGGAGAAGTCCTCGCACCGCGGGATCGTGACGGAGCAGAGCCAGTCCTTGTACGCGGCGGCGCAGTCGCTGCAGTTGCGCGCGAGCGAGTACAGCTGGCTGGAGGGCGCCTCGCAGGCGACCTGGGCGAGGGACTTGTCGAAGTTGGCGTACACAGATGCGGCGTAGTTGTCGTAGAACTCGGCGAGCTGCGACGCGTTGCCGAATTTGGGGTTGCTGGGCACCGCGTAGGCGGTTTCGTCGCAGAAAGCGAGGTTGATGACCAACGCACAGTTGCCGTGGTCTAGTGGGTTCGTAAGTGGAAGATCAACGGAAATTATTGTGTGAGATGCCTACCGGACTTGGTGGTGAAGTTCATCTCCTTGAACACCAGAGGGCCTCTCTCAAACGCAGTCTGCCGCTTTCCCAATTTACCACCATCCGCGCCATCTACCGCCAAAATACCGATGTACGTCGCAGAGGAATTGAGCTCGCTGAAGAAAAACTGTTGCTTCGGTCGGCCATCCCCTCTCTTCGTCATGCTCGTGCTGACCGTACCCGTTTGCCGCTCGTCCTTGGTGGCCGCAATCTTTGCGTAGTTGTACAATCCACAGTACGAATACTTCAGGCCGTTGACGGCTCTGTCTTTTACATTATGCGCAAATAGCACGTATGGCGGTGCTTCCATGATCGCGTCCTCCTCCTCCGGGTCTCTTGAATCCACCAAATCGGGGGTCATTAGCAACGCTCCTTGCGAGTCGCTATCAACAAAAATCAAGTCGGGATCCTTCGTGTCGTAGGTGTAATAGTAACTGTCTGTCGACGCCGCAAGCCGGAGATTGTATGTGCCAGAGAACCTTTCCGATTCTGGGGCGTGTATTCCAATGTAAACCTCCCTGTTAGTGGTGATGTTGTACGTAACTGCCCCCTGGGTGAAATTCTTCACATGTTGAGTTTCCGGGTCCGCAAGAGGCCCGGGGGCCGTGTTGTCGGGGGACGTCGAAACGTAAAGCTTGAGTTGGGGCGGGTCTTCCGTTGCCTTTGAGGGATCGACCGGCTGCGGTTGGAGACAAGTATTCGCTGAGATGTACACCATTCGAGCTGCCTGTCGCTTCTCAATATCTTGACCCTGTTGTTCTCCGCCCTCTTCGTTCTCCACAGCACCGGCGCCAGCGCCAGCGTGTCCGTCCCCGGAGACACTCCGTTCCCGTCTCAGCTCCAACCGATCCCCCACGGCCCCCCGGTCGGATACGCGGGGCAGTAAAAAGACGAACGGCTGAGTCACCCCTTGATCCACGTTCATTGGGAGAGGCTCATCGTTCGTGAGTGTGATCAGGTCACGCGTCGCTCGTCCGAGAATGCTCCTATCAAAGGCTGAGAATTCGGCTTCATATGTCGTCGGGCCGAGCGGGCCAGGCCCCGCCAGGTCCGCTGCGGAGTCGAGACCATCAAAGATAACAGGCAATGCTTCGTTGAGCTCGGCGGCAAGGGCGAAGTTTGGCGGAAACAGGACGAGATAGAGCAGAATCAGCAGACAAGAGGCCACAAGTGAGGCTGCGAGCCGCGATTGCAACGGGCTGAGATGCATTGTGGAAATACGCCCCCGAGGGGGTCTGGAGACGTGGGAGTCGTCGATGGAGTTGTGAATCTGTTGTCGGTCGTTGAAGCGGTTGGCGTGCCGTCTCTGTTCCTGCCGATCGCACAGCCACGAAAGCCCCTGGCGCTGACCACTGAGAGGCCGCCGGTTTACGGCACCATACTCTTTGCCAGGCCCTGCCTTTTCCTTCTGAGGATCCACTCGTAACGCGGTTGGCGGGGGCAGATACCTGGTTGCTATAACCGGCCAAGGAGATTTCGCAAATTGATATTCCTCCGTTGGTGGTGAAGGCGTTTGGGAGGTGCACAAATGCGCTGTCGCGCTGAAGCAGCCGCAATCCGGATCGGCAAAGGGTTGCTGTTGTTGGTGGATCGTAAGGCCAATGGTGGCGGATACCCCTGCTTGGCAGCCACGCAAATGCAATCCTATGGCACCTTGTTGGAAGACCCGCCAAGACTTAAGAGGTGGCAATCCAATGTGCCAGAATTTATCGATGGGCTGGGCGAAAGTCCAAAACGGGATGGGTGTTTGCACATGAAACACCCACACCAACCTCTCCCTCCTGCTTCTGTAGGTGCAAAAATAGCACACAATTGTCCAGCGTGAAAGGTAGTTTGTTAAGATTGAGGCATGAAAACTGTTGCAAAATAGAGAGACAAAAAGGGACTCGCCTCTCGTTCTGCTGCGCTGAGTGATCGCCGTACAAATATCATCACATACAAATCCACGTCTACATATTCTAAAGCAACCAATCAATCACCGGCTATCCCAGATCCAAAGGAATCCCGCACCCGTATACACCCCTATTGACCCTTTCATTGACCGTTTCCCAAAGAAAATACCAGCAGGCAGGCCTGCCAACTTGTTCAAATAGACCCCGTTTCTGCCGTTGTCCGACTGCGTGCTCATGAACATCTGGATCGATGTCCCAACGTCAGAAAAGAAACCCGTGTTTCACGTGGAATCCCACCAATCCACGATCCTGGCTGGACCACATTCAGAGCTACGCGCTCTGTATTTTGACGGATGGGTCCAGTGTCAAGGACCTGAGCACCATTTACTCAGTGTGGAGGGAGTCGGCCTTCGCGCGGAGGCCGCTGGCGGTGGAGCCGGGAGCGTGGAAGTAACGTCCCAGAGCAGGAGCCAGGAACGAGCGGAAGATGATCTCGGCACCCCTAAAGCTACTGTTAGACTTGCATTGAGCTGGAACAGGACCAAGAGAGATTTACCTGAAGGCGGGAAGGGACAGCCACAGGAGAAAGACAAACTTGAAAGTGTAGTAGAAAGGGAACCAGTAGACAACGCTGACGAGGCTCTCAAGAACACTATCGACCAGTTAGCTTAGGTAGAAGGGTCGCCTGTTGTAGCAAGATCTTACGTGAAGAACGCAAACACAACCCAGTACTAAGAATATATTAGCACAAATTCCTCGCCCAACAGAGAGTTGTCGGCCACTCACGGTAAGCCATTGAGTATCGTCCGCCTTGCTCGTAGTGAAGAGAGCAGCAAGGGAAAAGTATCCGGGGATAACGAAGCCCGCAATGTTGGTCAGAAGCTGGCCGCCGAGGTTGAAGATGATCAGGAAGAGATAAAGTGCGCCCAAGCCAAGCACGCCATAGGCCTTGGGGATCGAGGTCTGCTTCTCGAGATTGTTGAGCACGGGGTACTTGGAGAGCTGCGGCACCGACCCAGTTAGCACAAAGCACATGTCGGTGAGGAAATCGGATCCGGCATTTGCTACATACCTCTTTATCAACCTGAGCAACAAGGTTCTGGACGCGGTCCTGAGGAGAAGACATGGCTGTGATGCGGAGCTGTAGCAAAAACTATGAAACGGTCTGGAGGCTGTTAGGAGCAGCTTTCAGTAGTTGTGGAGGAAATTGGTGCGCTGTTGTGGGCTCGGAACTGGAAGCTTTCGGCAGCTTCGGCGGGGAGCTGAGGACTTTTTGCTTGTACCAACAAAAAGAAAGGGATTGGGAGGTGAGGCAGGAGAAATCGTTCAACAACTTACAGCGTGAGGTAAATTGCGCAAGATGCTTGAGGAACAAAAACTTGAGCTGTTTTGGTGGGCGAGAATTGGTTGAAATAGTGAAGTTACAGAACCTCGGTGTGGGTGGGCAGGGGACAGGAGAGGTGTGAGGCAATGACGACTGCTACGTGTGCAAGAACCCCGGTCACTAGCTCCAACCCCCGGCAGTTCCTGTTTTTAGCCCATGACACAAACCGGAAAGGGGGCAAGTCACGTGACTATTTTCTTCACACAAGTGATGGAAAAGGTGAAACTTGAACATTGCACAGCAACGCCAAGCAAAGGTCCGATGGTGTAGTTGGTTATCACGTCAGTCTAACACACTGAAGGTCTCCAGTTCGAGCCTGGATCGGATCAGCTTATCTTTTGCTAGAATTTCCTTCACTTTTTGGCCATCTCAACATTGATACAGAGACAAGGGACATGTTGACGCCTTGCAGGATTTCTTTCTGGGCTTCAGCCACGCGACATACCCCTTGCTTTCTGTTCCCTAACCCTGAAGCTATCCATTGTTTACTTGGTGGCAAGAATGCTTCCAATAGCCATGTCATCATCCATTTGCGGTCTTCGCATCTTTGATGGTAGGCAATCCGAATATTGCAAAAGCGAACATCGCTTGGCCAGATTATGTCGCTTGTACGCAACCGGGCGAGATTGCGACGGCGCATAAAAACAAATCTCCAAGCTGTATGTTTTTGTTCTGAGCAATGAAGCTTGAATTGTCCCCCGTGCCGCACAAATCAAGCCAAGTCGAGCCAATCGAAGCGCGACGCTGGGTGAGGTGGGGCTCTTGGTGCGTGCGGGGAGCTTGTCCACAGGAGCGAAGCATTGCCCCGGGTACCGCCTCGATGTTTGTTGATTTCTTCCCTTTCTCCTCGAGACGAACAGCAGCTCTGATCTCGGCAGGTGTGTAGACAGCACAGCACCTTGCACCCCCGATCCCTTGCTCGTGCATTCACTAGTATTTCTGGGGACGGTGTATAATTTGCCAATCAGCAAATTTTCCTCCTCTTTGAGCGCGGGTGGCCTTCTCATTGTCGCAACACCCCGTCATCATCTTCTGTTTTGGTGACAGCAACGCAACTGTTTGTCCGCAACAGGAATGGCGATGGACTCGAGCCACGGTAAGGAGGCCGCATCCCTACCACCGCAGCGGACACCCCTCCTTCCATGCAGCGTCAATTCTATTCGACGTGCCTCGCCAGCACCGAATGTTCAAAATACTCATCGCTTCACAGATGCGCTAGCACTCGCCGCCAAGCCCAGGAAGCGGCCCCGGTCGCGAGGGTCGACGACGTCGATTCATAGTGCCACCACGCAAGCCAACGTGGAACACAGCTTCGCCGAGTCCGCAGACGTGTATTCGTCACAATGGCTACCCAACAGCGCCAGCCATGCGCGCGAGCTGCCAAACGGATCGACCCAGATGACGCCGGAGGACCTGTTGCTGGCGTCACAGCTGCAGGCGAGTCGCGACTTCGGACCCGACGCCACCATGAACGCGCCGATTCCAAACGTCTCTTTCCACCACCACAGCCACCACAGCCATAGTCTCAGTCGCCAGTCCCTCTCCGCCGAGTCCTTTGCCGGCAACACGAGCTTTGCGGACGATAGCCAGATGCTCGATCGGGAAGTACACGACGGCGACGACTCGTTCAATGGGATGGCCACGGCGACGAAGTCGGGTGCGCGTTCTAACGCCAATAACGAGATTGAGATGCGGCAGCTGTTCCAGACCAACAAGCATCGCAGCCTCGAGGATGTTTCCCACGAGCTGCTCGGAAATGACCGGGGGCCAAACTCTGAACGCGCGCGCCAGGTTTTTGCGATGCTCTGGTATGCCGCCGAATGCTGAAGCCTTCCGATGTGAACCCGCTAACGAGTCTGTAGGATCAATTTGGTGTGCTCGACGGGGAAAGGATCAGTACCAAGAGGGCGTGTTTATGCCAATTATGCGTCCCGGTGTGCCACCGAAAGGATCACCGTTTTGAACCCTGCGAGCTTCGGTAAGCTCGTACGGGTACTTTTCCCTGGCCTCAAGACACGGCGTTTGGGGGTTCGTGGAGAGTCGAAATACCACTATGTGAACTTTCAGTTGAGAGAAGAGCAACCCGACGTCCGCGATAGCCCCAGCCAAACTGCGGTGCCTTTGGGAGAGAACCCCTCTTTGTCACAAAGTTTCAAGTAAGTTGCTATCCGTTTGTTTGTCAATCATGCCACCTACTCACATGCGCCTTCAGCACGCTACCCGCCGCCAATTCTACATCTATGCGATCCGACAGAACTCCATTTTCCGCTCCTCCCATCACACACCAACCCGGACCGAGTATCGTACGATCGCGCGAGTTTCATCACAGTCTCTACAATCAACCAAAGGCGGTTGGCGTTGACCAGCTACAATCGACGATGGGCAAGACGCCCCAGGAGCTTCGCTTTTCGACCGAGACGGGGGAAACGTTCAAGCAGTCGGATCCGATTATTCTTCCCCGAATCGAAGCATACCTCCCAGACGGCACAGATCCTGATGCGGCCAAGTCCCTCGTGGCCCTCTATCGCTCTTATTGCACGTCTTTGGTCGAATGCATCCGCTACTGCAAGGAGAAGGCGTTCTTCCACCTCTTCACATCATTTCAGGGGACCCTCACCATGCCCGTACAGAAACTGTTCGCAAATCCGGCCATTGCTCCGTGGATCGAAGAATCTGATTTTGTCCTGTATCAGCGAATGATGCGCATTGTCTCGGGTCTCACCCTCCAGGTTGTACCCAAGCCTGTTCTCGACACGCTACGCAACATCTCGGAGCGGCTCGTACCCCATATCCGAGAGTCATTCCAAGGACAACCTCTCCACGTGGTGAGGGCCAAAGAGGGGCCGGCTACCATTTTTGCCGGGTTGCTCGACAGGGCACTACGGGTGAACCTCACTGCCCACGCCGCCGCAAACATGCTGTCAAACCCTGCAAATCGCGACCTAATGTACATGGAGTGGATCTCCATGGTAAACGTTAAGAAGCTGGCCGAGTGTATCCCATCACGCGGCATGGACGATGTCGTCAATCTTCTGCTCAATGAGATGCGCGATCTACTCAGCCCGGTCAACATCCCATGGGAGATGGAATGCTTGACGTCACAGGGTGATGTTGTTATACGGAACGGCAGGCCATCCCAGGATGGTGGTTTCGAAGAAGTGGACTCGTCTAACGTGCTGGATCGCTGGGTCAACTTGCTACGTTCCCTCCCGAGCCGGTTCCCATACGCGTCGGACACAGACCTTGTCTGGTGCGTTCAAAGGCTGAGCACGGCATTGATGAGGGACCTCACAATTGCGCAAGGGAAGAGTTTTGGGTCGTGGTGGGTGACAAAATGCTGGGTTGACGAGATGATTCAATTCATGGCAGAGCAGGGCGGCTTCTTGCAGCAGAAGTCGAGTCAAGCCCCGCTTGCAATTCCGAAGCGGCAATCGGCAAACCGAGAGCTGAGCCACCAAGGGTCTCGGTACAGCAGTGCCAGCGATGATTTTGGTATGTCGCGCATGCCGGAGCCACAACCAGACCGGGCACCGTTTCCTTCGGCGCCTGCCACCAACAGCCAACAAGCGACGCACGATGATAGCGGAATCGGCATCCGGACACCTGACGAGGAGTTGCCGGCTGACAAGTTCAGCCTCACGCCCGCAACGGCTCAGGAATTATTTGCCGGCACAGAGCTACAAGTCGAGTTGGGCGATATATAAGATTCATGGTCTTTGTGTTTGGTTGGCGTGAACCCCTTCGAGGCCGGGGTCCTCCTCGCCGAACTCGCTCGGAGAAAGAAAGAGATCAAAAGATGGGTTGAAGCCCCCCTGACGGTCGTTTTTGGGTGGGATGGGTGGACGCGAGTGCCCAAAACTTGGATGTTTGTGTCTTTTTTCGAGACTGTTTTACTAGGGAAGGTGTTGCGGAGTCACACAACCGGGAATTGTTTGTCCCCCGGAGTCACGATGGGACGATTGGGATGAAAGAGTTAACGGCATCATTGAGTCTGACGGCTATCAGACTTGAATGGGGTTTGGGTCATGTTGATTAATGTTTTCGATGTTGATGTCCGAGGCAAGGGGCGGTTGTTTGTGGTGCGCGTTGGATGACTAGGTTGCCAATTTGGCCCTCCACAGGGCGGCATGTACCGTATATACACTCAACAGCGATGTCTTTGTTTTCTTTTTCTCTTCACATTCGGTACGCCAAAGCAGACCCCTTTACCCACGCCGAACGGACACTGAGATGGTGAGATGGCGATCAACGATTCGGATCGTGTGAAAGTGCCCCTGTTGTTTTGATGTCCTGGTTGGTGCGTGGACGGTAATCATTGCTCATTTCAGCCCCACATGCTGACGGCCTCCCTCCGATGGATACGTTCCTGCTTCCTGTCGATTCCAGCATAACACATGCCGCCGCTCGGCGCTAACCTGATTCTTCATGCAAAAGACCCAATTGAACCATTCTCTGTTTGATACGACTGCCACCTAATTCGAATCTCATTCAGAGGGCTCAAATCTGAATAACTGACGCTGAAACGACTGCTGGTTCTTTGTTTGCCGAGGCTCACGTCACCCCGTTCATTACTCGCACCAACCTCGGCCAGCGAAAGAAACATCGATCCCCTACTCCGTGCTCGGTCTTCATCCGTTGTCACGATTTATCGCGGATTCATATCATATCACTGAACCAGATTCGACTCAACATATCCCAAGATGGCTTTTGAAAAGGAAGGCACTTTGGAGGTAAAAGGCGACAGCCTCTACACCAAATCATGGGTGGTACGTCATCCTTACTCTTTCCACCGATCGCTGGTTTCTACGTGACCCGCCTTATACAGGACTTACATAAAATGCATTCTTCATCAAACTAACATCCGTTCAGCCCGAGGGTCCCATTAAAGCCAAGCTCATCTTCATCCACGGCTTCAGCGACCATCTGGGCCGCTACGGCGCCTTCTTCTCAGCCCTAGCCGCCCGCGGCATCGCCGTCCACGGCCTCGACCAGCGCGGCTGGGGGCGCTCCGTCAAGAAACCCGCCGACATGGGCCTGACCGGTCCCACCACCCAAGTCCTCGCCGACATGGCGGCCTTTCATCACACCCCACCTCCCCGCCTCCCCCTCCGACCCGCTCGTCTTCGTCCTAGGCCACTCCATGGGCGGCGGCCAGGCGCTCACCCTCGCCTGTCACCCGGACTACCAGGAGACGGTGGTGCGGCGCGTGCGCGGCTGGATGCTGGAGAGCCCCTTCATCAGCTTCTCGCCCGAGGAGCAGCCGTCGGCGCTCAAGGTCTACGCCGGCCGCCTGGCCGGCCGTCTCATGCCCCACTTCCAGCTAAAGCACGAGATCATGCCCGAGCACCTCACCCGCGACCCCGAGGTGCAGAAGAGCCTGCTCGAGGACAAGCTGATGCATAACACGGGCACGCTCGAGAAGCTAGCTGGCCTGCTGGACCGCACGGCCGCGCTGGCGAGCGGTCAGGTGCGGCCGTTGCCGGGCGGCGCGCTGAGGAGTTTGTGGATTGGTCATGGGACCGAGGATAAGACTACGTGGTATGAGGCTAGTCGGAAGTATTTTGATGAGTACACCGGGGAGGTCCAGGATAAGGAGTTTAAGGCGTATCAGGGGTGGTATCATCAGCTACATGATGATGGGCCTGATAGTAAGGAGTTTTATAAAGATGTGGGTGATTGGATCTTGGCGAGGTGTGAAGACGAGGGGAAGGGGGGCCCGAAGCTGTAAGCGGGTGTGTAATTGATGTTCCGGGCATGATATTGGGGGTGTGGGTTTGGGTGCGAGGTAAACGATATGTATGTTTTATTCTCCCTCGTTTTTCATATAAGTTCCAATCGTAAAGATCAATCCTTGTGTGGATGCCCGCGTCAGCTGGTTGTCATAAACCTGAAAAGGGGCATGGTCCAACCTAAATCCTAGATTCGCTTCTCTGACCCGTGATCCGGGGCACACGGCCCGGTATCACGGAAGCCAACAAACACTGGAGGGTGATATACCCCGCTGTAAGATCAACGGGTCTAGAACCTCGAAGTAATGATGTGCCGATAATAGGAAACATAAGCACCCCGGATCGGCGTTTGGGATTCAGCTTTGACCACCTGCTTTCCAGTCTCGTGGGTTTTTAATCCATAAAAGACCCTGGTCTGCTTGGAAGAGTCCAGGACTGGTAAATAGCTCTGAAGTCAGAAAACCGCACCCCCGAAACAACAACGAAGTCTAGAAGCTGTCGTTTCTATGGGGAGGGCGAAATGGGATTCCGGACCCCTGGCTCGTTGAGGCTGGAGTCTTGCGTGAGGCGTAGCTCTATCCAACCCGAATCTTCATAGCGCATATTCAAAGTCCCTGCTTCTCCTCTACTCTAATCCACTCCTCCAGCCCCTCGAATCGTGTCTCGGGGGTCAGGAGCAACCCTTCAAGAATCATCATCCTGTACCGCCCGCTCTCGTCGTCTTTGATAGTCACCGGGGTGGGCTCATTTGCAAGCCGGCTGGTAAAGGCCCAAGACCGTAATAAGCCCAAAACTCGCGCCGCCTTAATAGCCTTCATAGTGTCCTCCTCCAACCCGCCAAGCTCGTTGCCCAAGGTCTCCCAGAAACAAGCCACCAAATCATCGTAGTCCTCGTACCTGATCCACCCATTCTTCATGTGCAATTTGCTCATCAAATCTTGCAGAGAATGGAGGTTTGTGCCAAAGGGGCCGATCTCCGGCTCAGCCCAGTCAATGACACCAACCAGATGACAAGACTCCTCCTCCACCATGATGTTGCAGTCCCCGAAATCTTTGTGGAGGACGACCATGGGAAGCGCGAGAATGCTCGGCAGAGCTCTCAACGTGGCGTGGATGATAGGGCGGAAGCGGTCGGGGAGGGCAACCAACAGAATCTGTAATTCGTTCTCAAACGTCTCGGCGATGTGATCGCGGTAGGCCTTGTCGACCGCCTGTGGTGTTTTCCATGCCAGGGCGAAGAAGCTATCTCAAATTGTATAAATATTGCTGTGAAGGAAGAAGCTAACGACGTACCTTGCAACATCCCGGATCAGGGTCATCCGTCGGACCTTGTTGGTCGGCGAGTTTTCCGGGAAGCCATGTGCAAGCACAAAGTCCAAGCACAAAGTCCAAGCGGCTTATCCCCCGCATACGAGTCATGACATAGACGAGCAGCGGCTCTTGGCCAGTCGTAGGCATGGACTCGTCGCCGAGCTGCTGCTTGAAGGATACGTCAGGTACCAAGGTCCCGAATATACGCCGGGCAAGAACTGCCGTCTGTACCTTGAGCCAGAGGGACCTAAAGCGAAACTGAACGACATGACCCAGGTCACTCCCAGCGTAGACGGTATACGAACATGCGCCCTGCACCGCGACCGGGGTCACGTGGTCGCCGCCGACGAGTTCCTTGGCTAGGCTATCGCATGCTTCGCGGGTTACAGACGATTTTGTGAAGAACGTGGCGATCTCGTCATCAACGGCATATTGCTGGTTCCTTGAATCCATGCCGTTTGGGTGTGTTGTTTAAGTGGTAGAAGTGACATGCGGCGAGTTCGGTGTAGGAGGGTGGCAGTTTGCCAACATGGTGATGTGAAGCGGAGATGCAACAGAGGAAGGTAGGGAGGCAGAAGTTGGAGAATACTATTGATAGGACGGCCTCGCGCTAATCCCGGATGTGTAGGAGCTTGGGGCGTTGGAGATTTGACTAGAGGTTACTTGAGCCGTGCCATGCAAAGCCAGCCTTACCTAGGGCCGCATCTGGTTGGATATGCACTTGGATAACTAGCGCGGTGTTGTTGGTGATTCAACAGGCCTGGCGCGTATATGCGGCCCCCTCTCCTCGCACAGATAGCGTTGCAGCGACGTGAGCTGCGAGGCCAACTCCCACCACGGGCTTTAACTACTTCTAGGCACCATCAGACCTAGGCCAAATGCTTCCCCGAGCTGCACGGAGAGGAGTATGGAAACTCGTCGTTATGGGTTGGACATTGGGCCTCCCCGTTCTCCCTGTGTAGGCCGCTGTATTCCATCGCGGGCAAACTGCGGAGTCTTGCAGAATTGTTGGGTATCCCCACCCCAGCACTTGTAACACTGTGCTACCTGCAATGCAGATTAGTATGGCTCGCAGTTGAGCATCTGTACTCGCCAAGCCATCACCTCGTCGCAGGCCTTCTTTACCTTCCTAGCGGGTCAACGTGACCAATGTCGTTGCTCTTGTAACCCCCTCGATCTTCGGGGATCCGGAACTTGACTTTCTCAACCGACGGTAGTCCCAACTGGTTGCCAAAGGTCGTCTTAGTGGCATCCCCAAGCCTTTCTTCACCATCCCCTTCACTAGAACTGAATAGGTTCTCTTTGCTTCCCTTTCTGTTCCTTCAAAAGCCGTTCCGATCCACCTCCATTCTTCCCATGCCGTTCCCTCGTTTCTACATGCTGAAAAGTGACAATACCGTCACCACTGGGGAATTTTCGCGCTGCGACCGCTCCCTTCCTCTCGCTTCGAATTAGTTAGTACCCAGCCAGGGCCAGTCTCGTCGCTGATCCTAGGAGGCGTCCCCCAGAAATCAGTAGGCGTGGACGAAATAGAATAGGCGATGCTTTCCTGGCTCTGTCGATAACACTGTTTGCAGTCATGATAGAGGCAGCAGACGGACCAGAACACGAGTAGGATGTTGGGTCTGCTGAGTCATCATTTGCGTGCACCAGATCTAAGTTATTTTGCCGTGATCTCGAAACTGGGCACTCCGCCACACCAGGAATCAAGCAAAAAGGGACCTAGAGTCGATCATTAAAGCCATCATGAAGCCCAATGAGCAAATCCTCGCTTATCATCATCGTCCACGCATTGAAGGTCCAAGTCAATGACGTATTGTTGCGAGAATGCACTTGAACAATATGAAAGACGTCCTAACTATATGCATCGGACATCATTCTATTCGTACTCCGTACCTCAAATTAAATGATCAGTTACCGAGCCGCCACCGAAGCACCGAGCCACCAAAGGAAATAAATCTCCTGTCACCGACAACCGTGTTGACCCCCTTGCCCCGGTCAACGTGCCGCGGCACCCGTTCCTGGTTGGATGAATTGATGGGTTAAAGCACAGCCCACCGACCATACCCCGTTGACCTTCACCTTGTTTCGCCACCCCCAGGAGCTTCCCAGCTGTTTGAGCACCAAAGCTGCAGCAGGTGCATATGACTGTGCGCACGGGCAAGGGAACTCCTGGAAACTCTTGCTGAAGAGACACGATACACGCTGCGCCTCTGCGGGGAATTCTCCCTTTCCACTTTGCCGGGTCATTCAAAAAGGTGGGTGCTTCATCTGGTTTGTGGTGGGGATTTGCTCTGGGGGGCTTGTTCTTGCGCAATCTTATCGATCAATCGAGCCTCTTATTGGGTAACTAACCCACCGTTCATCCCATCAACTTTCCTAGGATCACTTTCTTCCTTCTCAACCGTTGCAGTGCAGTGCTTACTGTGCACAACGTCTTGACAGAATCCGTCGCACAGCATCTATCTAGGCACCTAGCCAACGACCGAGCCTACGATACCTAAATACGCCCACCATGGATCCACCTGATCTGTCAAATAGCATATCACTACATCCTCATCCTTTCAGAACCCAGTCGGACTCGGCCAGCCGCCTGGCGAGAACACAATCACCCCGCCCTTCTTCAATGACGGGAAACGGCGCAAGCACCGGCGTGGAGCCCACAGAGGGCGGCGACGAGGGTGCCGTCGCCCGGCATCCTCCATCCGCACCAGGCGACGTGGAGGTTGAGAGTCAGCGTGCCGGTCGGTTTTCCCCCTCATCGGCGCCGGCAAACGACCCCTACGGCTTATCCCAGCGATATAAGACGGCCTCGGAATTGGCAGAGATCAAAGCAAACACGTCTAGGAAACGCGATGCTGCTCACCAGCCAAGCCCTACCGTCACCGCCAAGGCGTCTACGACCAGCACACTAGCTGGGTATATCAAACCATTCGGGCGCAAAGCGACCACGGCTCGTCGCCTCGAGGGTTTTTACCAAGCTCAGAATGAAACCATTGAGCGGTTGCTCAAAAGCGTCGAAGAGCACCGCGCCGAAGCACGTCAGGAGCAGGGCGAAGACCACCTCAAGTTCAAGATTGCCATCTGGGGCTCGCTCGTCGCCAACATCATTCTCACCGGCCTGCAGCTCTATGCTGCCATCTCGTCCGGTTCGCTCTCACTCTTTACCACTATGGCCGACGCCATCTTTGACCCGCTCTCCAACGTCACCCTCATTCTCACTAACCGCGCCGTCCGCCGCGTCGATCCGGCCCGCTTCCCCTCGGGCAAGGCCCGTCTGGAGACGGTCGGTAACATCGTTTTCTGCTTTCTCATGACGGCTGTCTCGCTCATCATCATCGCTTTCGCCGCCAGGGAGCTCTCAGAGAGCGCAGACGAGCTCAAGCCCTTCTTCCTGCCGTCCATCATCTCAGTCTGCATCGCCTTCGGCACCAAGCTCACCCTGTTCCTCTACACCTGGTCCATCAAAGACAAGTATTCGCAAGTGCGCATCCTGTGGCAGGACCACCGCAACGACCTTCTCGTCAACGGCTTCGGTATCCTCACCTCGGTGGGCGGCAGCAAGCTGGTGTGGTGGCTCGACCCGGCGGGCGCCATCGTCCTGTCGGTGGTCATCACGTCGTTGTGGCTGCGCACCGCCTTCACCGAGTTCCTCCTCCTCGTCGGCGTCGTGGCGCCCGTCGAGATCCAGCAGCTGATCACGTACGTGTGCCTGACCCACTCGCCCGCCATCCGCCAAATCGACACGGTGCGCGCCTACCACTCGGGGCCCCGCCTCATCGCCGAGGTCGACGTCGTCATGGACCCGGACGCCACTCTCCAGGAGACCCACGACATTGCCGAGGAGCTGCAGATAAAGCTGGAGCGCCTACCGGATATCGAGAGGGCCTATGTCCATGTGGACTATGAGACGACTCACAAGCCGGAGCATGCGTTTAAGAAGGATTTGTAGAGGTGGAAGAGAGGTAAGGGGATTAGTTGGCTTAGAGGGGTAAAGAGACTCATATCTCGTTGGGGGGGGGGGACGGCGCGAGAGTCAAAAAATAAACGACGGGCGTTTTGCATGTTTGGGCGGCGGCGGCGGGTTTGTTGATTTTGTACAATACCTCGCTTGGATTTTTACATCTGCACATGTCTGTGCTACTACCCCTATTTACTTTTCTAGTTGGCCCAAGATATCGACTCGCACTACAGATAGAGAGGCTTTGTTCGTAACCAATACTATGTTATTGGTCCCATCTTTTCGGTTTCGACCCCTAACCTCTGGATGAGCACCTCAAGTTGACTCAGGTTGATGATGCTCATTTTCGGTCATCAAATAGTACAGTAGCTGAGAGGTTACTCTACAGCAAGCGATGGGTCACGAGGAGAGCTCAAGGCAGTCAGGTGGACTTCGTTGGACGATAAAACATGATTGTAGACAGATCGCCGGCTGCATGTTCTTGATTTTGTGGTTTGAATCCCACGTTAAATGCTCCTCCGGACTGGCAAACAAAACCAGGTAATCGAGCTCGTTAGTGCGTCTGGTGGATTCAACAAAGTCGGGGGTTGCTTATTATTGTTCGAGCTTGCTTGTGTAGCCAATCCAGTCACCCTAAAGCTCCCTTCTTTCGAGATCTTCAGGAATAAAGTGTGGGAGGTCAATATCGGACAAGATAATCTCGGGATTATTCTGAGCTTGACAACCGTGACACCCAATTCTCGACCCGTCTCGTCGCGGGGTACTGCGGGGTGGCCTACAGGGGACCTCGACTGACCGCAACCTGATGATGCAATAGCCCCGCTTGACGCGCTTCGAGAGAGCTCCACAGCACTAAAGGGAGCGCTAACGGGTTCGTGGACCGGCGCGTCTGCAGCGCCAGGGCAGAAGCTCCGCTCATGCTGACAATGTTCCTGGTTGTCCCATGCTGTACGAAGTCGCACGGATCTAGAACCCCTTGAATCTCAGGGTTTACTCTACACTAGTCGTATACTCTGGCGTTGTGTGAACGGATGAGGAGGGATGAAATTTTCATCACTTTTCTGCACCTACAAGCCACCCACCAAGCATGCCTCAAAACAGCAGGACCGTTGGAGGCTCGATGAACTGGAGGGGCTTGGCATTGGTACATACATCATTTCTGGCTTACAGGGGTTCCATTCATTCAGTGCTTATCTCTTGAGGCTGGCATGGCCTAGACTGACTGTCAACACAAATAAGCTGCCTTCATCTCGAATCTCTCTTGTACCACCACGCTTGCCGATGTCGTAAATGCACACAGTTCCCGCCTTTAGTAGTTGTATATATGTCGGCTGATTATCCCGTTTGTTGACCCGCCGCTGCAAGAAGCTGCAAGAAGGAAAACAGATGGAGGGTGCCCCGCGGGGATTGGGGCCACCCAAAAGTGCAGCCCCATCCATCCCTTCCTGCAACTGGCCCTGTTAAACCAAGCTTCCATGCATCCCACTGTTGCCCGTTGCACCAAGCTTGCACAACGCTGGCAGCTTTCTGCGACACCAAGTTGACGACAGTGCGCAGTGTAAACATTGGGCAGAGGTGGTGACCGGGGTTATGGCAAGGGGATGCGCAGATTTCCATATTAGCGTGGCACAAAACTTTCCCGATCTCGCCTACCAACCTAGGTACCCTTACCCTCCATCTCTCGAGGACTGCTCCTTCGGTGACCCCCAACTCCCGGTCCCGTCTTCTCGGCTTTGAGCTGTCGCATTTTCCTCTACTCCACGAACATCCCCTCGGTTTTACAATTCATCAGCTCATTGCTACCCCCGCTTCCGATTTGACGTCGCTAGTGAGGAGTCTTTGCACACAATGGCCGTGCAAGGGACCGAGGATGTCTACGCCAGTGTGAGTGCTGATTCCTGTTTTGTCTGGGCCGAAGCCGGGGATGCGCCGACGCGCTGAGGTGCTGCTGTTCTGGACGAGAAGTTGTCAGCCCTGCACTCAGCTCGAAACAAACAGGAAAATGCTAAAACCAAACCGACATAGCTTCTTCTGACGGACACATACCTCCCTGGTGAGTTTGGAGTGACAATTGCTAGACTCATCAAGGTTTTGGAGCTAATTCCCGTTTTCTCAAGGTGCCCTGGTGCTGGCCCATTCGCTCCGCGATGCGGGCACCACCAAGAAACTGGCCGTCTTGGTCACCCTAGACACGGTGTCTGCCGATGTTGTGACACAGCTCAAGGTACGCTTCCTCAGCTCTCCCAAGTCCCTTGGGATACATACACATATCCCTGTGTTATTGACTGTTGGCTAGGCTGTCTATGACTATGTCATTCCCGTTAGCCGCATCCAAAATGAACATACCGCAAACCTGGACCTTATGAACCGCCGGGATCTTCATTCGGCTTTCACCAAAATCAATCTCTGGAGGCAGACTCAGTTCCGGAAGATTGTGTATGTGGACGCCGATATCGTGGCCTACCGAGCACCGGATGAACTCTTCAACCTACCTCACCCCTTTTCCGCGGCGCCAGACATTGGGTGGCCAGACCTATTCAATACTGGTCTCATGGTCCTGACTCCAAATATGGGTGACTATTACGCCCTGACGGCCATGGCTCGGAGGGGCATTTCCTTTGACGGCGCCGACCAGGGCCTCCTGAACATGTACTTCAAGAACAGCTTCAACCGCCTAAGCTTCAGCTACAACGTTACGCCCTCAGCTCACTACCAATATGTGCCTGCCTACAAGCACTTCCAGTCTGGTATTAATATGGTTCATTTCATTGGGCCTGAGAAGCCGTGGTTGCAGGGCAGAGATATAACCACTGGAAGCTCGCCGTTTGACCAGATGGTAGGCAGGTGGTGGGCGGTTTATGACCGGCATTACCGCAAAGAGGTGCGTTCCGACTGGCTTGACTGAGCAGGGTTGCCGCTAAGCCGCTGATGTAGACACCCCGACTGGAGCCATCACAACCAGAGCAAGAAGTCCCAGCGATCGTGCAGTATTTCGTCAAAGGGGAATTCCAGCCTACTATCCGTTATGTTGTCCCCGTTGGCGAACCTCCCAGCGATCAACTAGCACAGCAGTATCCCCAGCAACAGCAGTATCCCCATCAGTCTTATCCCCATCTCCAGCAGCAGCCTCACCAGCGTTCTGACGATCACCACCAACATCATTATGAATCTCAGCATCACTCACATACTCACTTTGGGGCACAGACTGAGGTTCAAAAAGCCCAGGCACCGCCGGCCCAGTCGGAGCATAAGCCCGAGCCTCAACCCCAACCAGAGATGGCACCAAGCTGGGACGCTCAGCGGTTAGTTCATCCCTTACCCAGCTGCCCCGTAAAAAGCAGCACAATAAGCTAACAGAAACCCCCAGGCAACCTCCGCCGCCCGGCTCAATGCCCGAGGCCATGAACTTCCCACAGACGCACTACACCATGTCGTCTGATACGGCCCCGTTCGTCCCGCCGGAGCGTTATCCTAGCCCGCCCAAGAATATGTGGTACGAGGTCCCAAAGCAGGCACCGGCGAAACCCACGGAGAAGCCCAAGCCGCTTTTCCCATGGGAGTCTCATCGACCACCCCCGACCCGCGTGTTCGCGCACCTGACCCAACCCGAGCCGCCCGCACCCGGGCCGGCGCCCGTGAGCGCCAGCGAGGAACAGCCAGGTTCGCAAGTGCAACCCGAGCCCTCCACCACGGCGACGCAGCCGGGCGAACCGCACACGCCACCACCGCCGGTCCCGGCCTCCCGCACCGCGCTATCCGCTCCCACGACGACGGACATCTGGTCCTCGTTCCCCCGCACCAACGCATGGGATAACGTGCCGGAAATCAACCGCTACGTCGACCGCAGGATGCAGAAACATCGCCGCACGCGCAGCGATAAGAACCTCGCCCTGGGCGGCAGCGGGGGCGCGGGAGCTCCCGGTGGAGGCGGCGGCGGCGGTGTCAGCGACTTTGCTACGCCGCGGCGCGGCTCCAAGGTCACCGACTTCCCCAGCGAGGACGACCGCCCGAGCCTACCTGTCACGCCGGCGCCGATTCGAAGGCCAAGGCGTTGGGTTGCTGGTGGTGGGGGCGGTGAACCTGGTTGGTGGCCTCGGCTGGCGGATGACGGGGGGGAGCAGCTGCTTCAGGGCGCCGAGGGCGTGCCGGGGCCGGCTGACTGCGGTATGTGTGCATGGGAACTGGTCGGGGCCCTGCAGACTGCCTGGTGTGAATTGGCTAACCTCCTTCGCTGCTACAAGGGATCCTGCGGCGCAGCTGCGGAAAGCTGGCCATGGAGCAGTCCGGAGCTGCTGCTCCGGCGGCTCCGGAGCGGGCGAGGACGGTGGTGCTGGTGGTGCCGGGGTTGGTGGGGGGGTTTTGGAGGGGGGGGAGGAAGAGGGCGGCCCGCGCGATCCCCCCTGGCGCCCGCTCCCGTTTGGGTCCCGAGGGCGTCAAGGTCCCCGACCTACGTCGCGCCCGGCGGCCGCCGCCGCAGCTCCGTCAGCCCGAAGCCGGTAAAGCCGACTACGGGAGCGAGCCCGGTGAATCGAATCCTGGCGGCTGCGCCGAAAATTCTGCCGGAACAGGAGCAGGAGGGCACAGCTGGTCCGATCGCGGCGCCGAGCTATCAGGGCCCGGGCCCCGCGTTCGAGAAGGGCGAGGATATCCCCACGTTTGAGACACCCGCGCTGCCGACCGAGGAAGAGCGAGATGTTCTTGACACATAGGGTTGTGTGATGGTTTAGTGACTGATTTTTTTAGGAACCTGGAACCGCCGCTGTGGTTGTGGGGCAAGCGCTGTATGATACGGGCTGAGGATGGTTGGTATTGGTGCAGAGGCGGCCAGGCGGGGAGGTTGGGATGGATGGATGATGTTCCAGCGTTTAGGGGGACTTGGAGGACATTAATGGGATTCTTTGGGATTTTATTTGGCATTGTGGTATTCTTTTCTATAGTATGGCTGTTCGGTCTGTTTCACGGCCGTGTTTGGCTCTTTCCTGTCTTTCCTGTCTTTCCTAGATCAAGCATCATCGTTTTGTTCCCGGGGCATTCCGTTCGGTTCCCCTATTTCATCGAAGCACTTCCTTTGGGACTGTATTAGCGGAGGAGCGATGGTATTGACAATGGTTGATGCGTGGGAGGAATGCAATGCATATTACTAGTAGCCACCAGAGCGCAGTCGTAGCCACCTCGTTAATCTATCCTCGTGCCTGACAGCTGGGCGCGCCAATAATTTGAGCCCAAATGCGTCTCCCTCCACTCTGTATGCGGCTTTCTCTCGGAAGGTACGTAGGTTTATTTAACTGAAGGGCGAAATCAATAGTTACCACTTACAAAATACCCAACTCCTTTGCTCGGAAAAATGAAGAATGGTTGGTTGCCAGAAGAGCAAGTCACCAAAACTTTCGTTTATTCTACTATTTTTCAAACTATTATTGTTACTTTCGATTCGGTTTTAGGAGTTTGAGTGGTTTATAATTTAACATGGCCGCTTCGACCTCTTCAGATAACTTTTTCTCATGAAGCAACTTTCGGTCAGTTCGCTCGCTCAGCGCCTCGACCAATCAAAACCACTCCAATCGACCCCAACTCGCCAACTTTAGCGACTCGCCGCGTCAACCGACATTCCCCAGGACCTCATGCCGCCGATTAAACAGAAACGCCGGAAACCGGCGAGAGGAAGTCGAGCAACCCGTAAACCGACACCCGAAGAACGGCTTTACGAGGTCCGGGATATCCTGGACGAGAAGTCCGCGAAGGGTGTATTATTGTACAAAGTAGACTGGGCCGATAACCCTACCACCGGGGAGCGGTACGAGCCGACTTGGGTAATCATCACCAATACCCGTGCAGCTTTGCGTGTTCGTTTGCGCCCTCGCTAACCACGCTGCACCCTCATTCAGGAGCCCGCCGAGAACGTAACTGAAGCTGCAGTCGCCGATTGGGAGAGGGAGAAGCGCCGGCGCGAAGACATTGCACGAAGACGCGACTCTCACCCCGCCGTGGAATGCGACAGTCGGCCGCCGGTCCTGCCCCAGAACTTGAAGCGCAGCCGGCAGCCCTCGATTGCCGACGAGGATAGGCCGGCGAAACGATCTCGAGAGTCGGCCGATTCTGGGTACACATCCACCGACGGAGACCCTCAATCAAACCAGTCCAGTGCCCAGTCCAGCTGGGCGCGTGTACCGCCAGTCCCGGACAACAAAGGGGAGCTTGTTGTTGAGATATCACGCCCGCCCAATTTTGGTCCGTCTGAGTATCGTGTCATCAATTCCTCTCAATCCGCACCGCCCTCCCAAGCTGTGGACAACGCGGCCCCATTGGGAGGTAGCAACGAACCAGAAAGCCAACTCAGCCGGAGAACCATCCAGGATTCCCAGGAGTGCTTTGACTCCCTTCATACCCAGTCTACCGGCCAATCGGCCACCCACCCTAGCGAGCCGACTTCACAAACTCAGATAAGCCGTTCCGACCTCGACATACCGTCGCGCCAACCGGAAACCTCTCATCACGATCCCAGCCACCCAGGCTTGCTCGAGACGACCGAAGGAGCGGCATCTGACAACGTTCCGCACTCCAGTTCACGATCTGATCCGCAGCTTGGACACGATTTAGTCTCGGACGATAGTCCTTGGGGCGAAGGCTTTCTGACACAGCCCGACTACGAGCCCCCAATCTTCGGCTCCGAGGCCGAGTCCTCTCGATCTCCTGAAGATCTTTCCGGTAGTCAGAGCTCTGGCCAGCCTCGGGATCACAGGTCCGCCTCTCGGAGTTTTTCTGCTCGCGAAATCAACTCCCTCCCGAGCGTTTCCAACTCCCATTCACAACAGGCCGCCCAGCTAGTCTCCTTCAATAGCAACAACCCGGGCCTCCTTCCGTCATTCTCTCAACGCGCTAGACTGGACGATATAGTTCCGGAAACTGTCCCCAGACTACGCATCACGAAGTCGCCCTTACAGATTCCTAGCCAAAGCGCGAGCAGTCCACTGGGAGGAGGAACCCCACTCTCGTCTACCCTAGATAAGGAGAGGAACGCGCCACAACCTTCTATACCCCCCAACCGAATCATGGAGCGATCAGAAGAAGTAACCCCGCGCCTTTCAGCTGTCGAACGGATGCGGCAGTTGGGTGCTCGAGTATTTGGTCCTCCACCAGGGACACCCTCGGAAAGCGGACCGGGTCAGGTTGTCGGCACGTCGCCAGCAGTTCCGCCCACAGAATACAGACATGAACCAGCGCTGATATCCCCATCGGCGGTTCTTCCGCCGAGTGGGAATTTTGCTGAACAATTGGAAGCCTCTGCCGCTCCGGTACATTCGTCCACCCAGCTAGCAGAGCAGCTTCCTGCGGTTCATCTCGGTCCACAAGTTGGAAGTTTGGGCCATGATAGTAGCATGGATTTAAGTCTACCTACCGAGACACCAATCATGGACGGACCTGCCGAGTTCGAGCAGCAGCCGGCAACAGTGGCACCGGCAGACCTGACAACTTTGGTCGACCCCCCGCTTGTTCCCCACGACGACCTCTCTGTTGACGACCAGGTTCTCGGTGTTGATAACTCTGCACTGGTGCCTTTGGACCAACCCGACCGGTCTCAGTCCCCGCCTGACATGGGGGCGGATGAGCAAGAGGACGACAGTCATGTGCGGCATTTTACCGTGACGCTTCCGATGGCCGCCAATACTCGGGCAAAGTACCTTGACAGGATAACAGAGAACAAGGCGACTCTGATCAAATTTGGCGATGTGTTTGCAAATTCATACACGAGTGAACCGGATCCGGCTCTGGTCACGAAAATTGATACTATATTCGACCGCTTGCTCAACCTCTGCGATCTGCCCGCGTATGAGGACGACCTCCCGGAACTGGGCAAAGTGGACATGATGAAACATGCCACCAACTCAAACAGCAAATTCTTGTTTGTTTACGAGTTTATCAACGGCTTATGGGATATCAACGCCCGGATCCTCGTCATCTCCCAGCCCGGCCGGGCCTTTGAGTATTTGGAAGCGGTCGTCTCGGCGACAGATTGCCCATACACAATCCTTGGCCAAGAGAGCTCCACTGAGCAGAGCACCGAAGTGACCTCGGTTGTTCTGGCTGTAGCTAGTCAAGATCTCTCCGCGGTTCAAGGGGGTGTCGATGTCGTTATCGCATTCGACCATATGGCCCGATCGGTAGAGCTCCCAGCGTCTCTGAGCTTTGAAGCCATGGCACCAATCGTCCTCTCTTTGGTTGCCACATACTCGCTGGATCACATCGACCAACAGCTCGACCAGACCGAGCATGACTTAAACAGTATAGAGAGGCGGAACGCCCTCAATCTGGCGATAGCGACCGCAATGGACTATCTTCGGAATCCCGATCGGCAGAGCACCGAGCCGCATCAAGCGGCCAAGACGTTTGCCGCCTTCCTAAGAAACCCGGATGATGGCCTAGATTGGGAGGCGCACCCGCTCCCGGGCGACATCTTCGAGATGTGGCTCAGTTCACAAGAGCGTACTCAGGAGTCTCAGGCCGATCTCCTGGTCGAGGCTGGCGGCCGGAAACGTCGCTTGGTAAGTTAATTTGTAAATCCAGCTCAATGGGGGTTCCGGACCATTAACAGAATGACAGCACGGCATAGATGATGGGATTCCCAAACGGCCGAGGCTTCTGGATTCTCAACTTCCGTCTCGCAACTCCACACCAGCGAGGATGAGCGACCTGCTGAGGCAGACACTCACGAACCACTCAGTCAACGGGCCGACCGGCCAAGTTGTCGAAATCCCTGTGGAGCAGCTCGAGAAGATGTCCGCTAAGGTAAGAAAGAACAAGGCAAACTCTTCGAAAAAGACCACGTTTCTCACCCTATCTAGATTGCGGAACTGGAAAACCAACTCATCACACAAGCCGCCATTGAAGCCAAGACGCGTGAGCTTTGCACAAGTCTGGAGTCGCAACTCAGGTCTTACGAGCGCACCATTAAGTCGCTGGAGCCAAAATATATGGACGCCCTTCGCGATCGTCATACCTTTGAGAAACAGTGCCAAAAGGCCGTCGAGGCAGCGAGCGCCACGGCCGCACGTCTTGAAGCACAAAATGCCGAGGTAAAGGACCTGCAAGAGAAGAATAAGCTTCTGGAATCGAAGCTTGCCGAGGCTCGCGATACGCTAGCAAACTCAACAGTCCCTGAGATTGCAAAGGTTGCCCAGGCGGAGAAGGATCGCGACGAGGCCCTCGCCACGGCTGAAAAACTCGAGAAGAAGGTCCAAAGTGTGCAGAACGAGGCCGAGTACAGCCGAAAGGCGTACCAAGACGCATCTAATGCGCACACCAGCCTCAACCAGGAGTACCAGGAGCTGAAGAAGAAGGCCGCGGAATTCGAGAGCCGCGCCAGTGAAAACTTGCGCAAAATCCATCAGATCCACGCCCAAAACGAGATGAACGAGGTCAACCGACAAATCGACGAGCTCCAAGCAACACTCGACAACCGCGAGCGCGAGCTGGAGCGCGCCAAAGAGGAGCTGAAACTCCTCCGCAGCGGGCGCCGTGAGACGCGCCAGGCTAGTGTCCCGCGCAGCCCACGCATGGGGGTTATGAGCCCCCGGCCCGCCCGCGGGGTGGGAGCTAGTAGTCGAGGCACCAGCCCCGCACCCATGAGCTCTGACGGACCAAGTGTTAGCGGCGCCGCCGCGCCTGTGCCGGGCATGACTTTCTTCCCACCCGTCGGGGGCGCTGGTCGCTGGGGTCACCTCCGGGACTAGGGGAACGAGGGCAACCCCGGTGCCAGTGGCAGCGGGGAGGAGAGCCGGCCGGCGCCCAGTCCGGCGGGCGGTGACCGCAGGGGGAAACAGAGAAAGCCTAGGACTTGGAACACGCGGGGCCCAGAGCGAGCGGAATCCCCGATCTTGGGCGTGCTACCCGAAGGCGAGGATGAGGAAGAGTATGAGCCGACGACGCCGACGCCGGCGCCGACAACGACGTGGCAGCTGAGATCGGCGACATCTTCTGCGTCCAAATCCGCTAGGTCGCAGCGGTCGTCTGTGAGGCAGCAAGGAAATCGCGACTGAGAAGAGGAGAAAGGCGACGGCGGCTCGAGAAAGAAGCTCTGATGCCTTCCTTGGTTGCTTGGCAATGAAGCAGGTTAAGGTGTGGATACCAAGGACAAGCAACTGTTGGGGCCTTTAGGACGGGGACGGTGCTGTTGGGAAGAGGAGAGAGGCCGGTCATGCGTCGGCCTCCGTTCTACTTCTCTTTTTGCTTATTTCCTTCTGCGTTTTAATATTCATCACATTGCATGGGACAGGACGGGGAATATCATGCATGGTTTATGGTATGGCATGGGCGGTGGTTGCTCGCCAGTTGGCAATTAGGATTCGGAGGTGACGATGCCGGTGGATGGATAAAGCTCAAGACGGAGACATGATACCCTTCCCTTTATCGAAGAACAAGTCGGGCTGACTGGAGAGTATGTCGGTTGAGGTATGAAATAGCTAGCGATGAGCGATCAATAAGAAAGCTGGCGGATCGCCGTTTTCAAGCGATAATATTGTTCAGACGAAATCAGGAGACATCCCGTGATGGGATGTTCCATGGCGAGGAAAATGAATTTGATATCTCTTCTTCGAACTTAGCTTTTTACATCCAAGCTCCGCCTTGCCTCCCACCCAATTCTTAACATCACTTCTTCACTGCGGGCCGTTTCGAGGCTCCCGGCATCTTCCTTGCATCTGGCAAACGAAGTCTAGGTACGGTGACATATACAGATTGATTTGCACAACCCTCCACAACCCGATGGAAGACAGGGTGTCTATGGTATCACCCACGGCGTTGTCCGGAGGGTGTGCGATTTCCTCAACGAGGAAACCCCGGTACTTCGTTTATTTGGACTCCTCCGGGTACATGTCCTCCTTGAGCGGGATTCCAAGCTCCTCGCGCAACGGCTTGAGCTCGTCCAGATACTGCTGGTACTGGCCCTTGTTCTCAACCTTGGCCTTGATGCCTGTTTGGCCCCGTTAGCTTGCTGTATATATTGGGGCGGGGTCGACCGAAATCAATATTTCCCGCATGGTTTTGGGTGGGAGTTTCGTACCCTCGAAGATCCGGACAGCGGTGGGGAAGTCGTTGACTCTCCGCGCAGCCCTGAGGGCAGCGGACACAACGGCGGGAGAGGGGACGAGATCGTAGGCGAAGGCGTTGTTCAGGTTGCGCTGTGTTGGTAAAGCTCCGGGTTAGCGGAGGGGGGCAGCAAGGTGGATGGGGCCCGGTTGACGGTGGTGGGGTTGTACCTGGAGCTCGAAAACGTCCTGAACACCGTCAAACTCCTTCTCATAACTACCCAGGACCTTATTATCAGTAATTGGTCGACCGAGAAAGCCATGGTGGGTTGTGTTAAGTCGGGATGGGTGGACCAAAACGGGTCACGTCATGGTTTCGAAAGAGCTCTGCGGAGCTTGGGAAAGCTCTGTTTTTGCTCCACGAATCCCCGGTATTGTCGACTCACCGGGCAGAAAACTCCTCAAAAGTCTCCTCCTGGTGCTCGGAGCGCAGACGGGCGGATGTGCTGAAGCTCGGGGCGGCGAGGACGGCGCGCGCGGCGATGGGTTGCGGCCGGGCAGCGACCAGGTTGGCGCGGAGCAAGTTGGAGGGGCCGCGAGCGGCGACGCGGAGCAGGGAGGCCGACATTTTTCTTCCGCTTCAAACGATGAGAAATTGAAAGGCCAGAGTTAGGGGGGGTGGTGAGGCGGACAATTGGTGGGGTGGGGAGGCTCAACTACCTACGATGGGCTGGCTCAGAAGAGCTTGGTTCTCAATTGAATTGGGTGCAGACAGGGCCAGTGTGCGTTTGGTGTTGATCCTGGAAATTACGGATATTCGCATCGAATGATGTTTCGGCTAGTTACTTCGTATGCGATGCTCTGCTCGCCTACTTGCTTAGCGCATTATTTTTCTTGCTGTGTCTGCACCCCGCCAATAAGATGCTGCGCATTGAACCGATGGGAGTTCCTCGCCACGCTCGCCTGCCGGGCTGCCCGTGGCCGACCTAAAATCATACTGCCAGGTTAACACGACATCCCGACGACGGCAACATTTTTGAAGTCGCCCGAATGGCGCTTCAAGTACTGCCTAGTTCTTGCAGGCGAATTTATAGCTGTTCTAACTCAAGAAACCCATCGTTTTTCACATCATAATTGAGAGATACCGAGGCTACCGAGGCAACAGCGGATCCACAATAAGAAAGAAAACCCCGAGCTGGTTACTCTACAAGACAACCACCGAATGGACAACATATTTATCAACAAGTCTGACCACCCTCATCTCCCGGGGCCGCGGGGCCCGGACTGCTGTGGGTGTTGCATCGGCGCTCCGGAGCTCCGAAATCCACAGCACGACATACTCGGCACCGCGATGCCCTCTCGAACCGGCCTTGGCGAGCCAGCGCCGACCGTCCGAGGAAATCCTTGGGCCAATCCTCAGCCGTAAATTCGAATCCTGACTTCTGATTCACTGCATCCCCAACCCCGTTCCCGACGGGAGCTTGATGCAACGAAGTAGCGAGGAGTGGATTCTGGCGAATTGCCGATTTAAGGGGGCCGAGCCGAGAGAGCCGATTCGGCTATCCCCGTGGAAGCGTTGGTTTGTCAAACCTGCAAGCTGGGGAAATCGATGCAGTGAATCGCCGGTCTTGCTCCTACTACGAATACTATTGACAGGCAATCCGCTGCTTATTATTGCTCTTCCATGCTCGATCGTGTCCGCTTCCAAGATGCCGGGACCCCCGTGAGCCCCGTTAAAAGACGGCAAGACAGCAAAACCCAACAGAACCAGATCCAAAGGCCGGGAATCCCTGTGGGGCAGATCTGACATAAGAGTAGGCGTGTCTTGATTGGGCGGTAAAACTTCACATGCAGGAACAAGGAAATGAGAGCCAAGGCTAAGCTGTTCGTGGCTTCTCCTTTTCGGGGGTGGACTTGCTGAAAAATATTTGGTTCCATTGTCCGTGAACTCTCGAAATCGCGATTCTTATTGCGATACACTTTCCTTCCCATTGTCAACTCTCCCGCGCTCTCGTCTTACGTTTCCGGCCTGCGAGGGTGCTGCTTCGAACCCCCTTTCTCTTCGCTTCGTCTCTTTTTTTGGGTTTCTTCAATACTCGGCCGTCGTTTGGCATTTACTTTCGTTGGCGGTCTTAATCCATCATCTCTTTTCGACGTGTCGCGTGTCAAACATTGCATCAATAGGTAAGTTGGATAACTCGGTTTCTCCCCGATGCACCCGTCCGCCAATGCCCCAGCAACCCGCTCGAACGGCCGTACAAGGTGCCGTGACAGCTGTCATACCAGCACTTGCTGACACGTTGTGTGCTGCGCAGAATAATTGAACCCTGCCGTCGTGGAAACTCTCACACAATGACGACCGCGTCCCCCGTGGCTGCTCTCCTCGAGAAGCTGCCGGTTCCAACCGTGGACCGGCCGTTCGGCATCCATCTCTGGCCCATCTTCAGCAAGGCCTTCGAGTACGTCGTTGGCTACTCGGCCGATGAGTTCACGTTCCAGCCGGGCTCGACACCCATGTCGACGCTGAAGGAGACGAGCATCTTCATCGTCATCTACTACACTATCATCTTTGGCGGCCGGGAGCTTATGCGGAACCGCGAGCCGTTCAAGCTGCGCACCCTCTTTTTGATCCACAACTTCTATCTCACCGCCATTAGCGCTATCCTGCTCGCCCTTTTCATCGAGCAGATTCTGCCTACCGTCGTCCGCCATGGAATCTTCCACGCCATCTGCGCCATTGAGGGTGGTTGGACTCAGCCCCTGGTCGTGCTTTACTACGTGAGTCTCCTACCAACCGCCATCCCGCGCGTGCCGTTGTGGTGTGCTAACATGGATTAGTTGAACTACCTCACCAAGTACCTTGAGCTTCTGGATACCTGCTTCCTCTTCCTCAAGAAGAAGCCCTTGACCTTCCTCCACTGCTACCACCACGGCGCGACGGCTCTCCTGTGCTACACGCAACTTATTGGGTCGACGTCGGTCTCATGGGTTGTCATCTCGCTGAACCTGATGGTGCACGTGGTCATGTACTGGTACTACTTCCAGAGCGCCCGCGGCATCAAGATCTGGTGGAAGGAGTGGATCACCCGTCTCCAGATCATCCAATTCGTCATCGATCTCGGTATGCTTAAACCCCGTATTTATTTTACCGACAGCTATACTAACTATACGCTCCGCAGGTTTCGTGTACTTTGCGTCCTGGACCTACTTCACCTCGACCTACTTCCAGTGGCTTCCCAATGCTGGCAAGTGCGCCGGCGAAGAGTTTGCTGCATTCTCAGGCATCGCTATTATCAGCTCCTACCTCTTGCTCTTCATCTCGTTCTACCTCGCCACCTACAAGAAGGACGGCAAGCGGCCCAGCGGGCGCAAGGCCGTGCGGAGGATGAGCCAGGCCCCGCTGCCGGACCCGATCCACGGCTCGGCCGCGAATGCCAACAGCTACGGCAACGGCGACGCCAAGTCTACCGGTGTTAAGACTAACGGGACTGCCACCCGTTCAAGGAGGGCTTAAACGTTCTCATGGCGAGCTTGTCGCGGTGATTGCACATAGTGCCAGCTCAAAGAACGGTACGGGCAGCTTTTTGGACCGCAGGAGCAATGCCTACGAATGCATGTGTTCACGCACGACGTGACGGCGTGACAGCTAGGATATCATGGAGTGTGATTTTGTACAACACGCAGCCGCGGGACAATGGGTGTGCCACTTGGGAAGGGCTGGGCACAATTTCCTCAAAACCATCATCACGGTATCTCGGTATTCATTACGGAGTTAGACACGGGGAAAGGTCATTTGGCGGTGGGTCGGGGTGGGGACGGTTTCTCGCAACGACATATGGGCGACGAAGGGCGTGGCTATATCATGATGGCGGTGAAGGTGTACGATGATGGATGGGCCGAGTCGGGTTTCGCCACCCCGAGCGACACCGACCGGATCGCTAGGCCGGGCTGGGAGGGAGGGTTGCAGACCAGATCGCGCGGCTAGCTTAGGACGGCGGTTCGCGCGGCGGACATGGCAGGGCTCCGGTTCGGGTCTTTCGATTTTTATGCCTTCGTTTCGTTATGTGTATACGTTTGTCCTGTACTACTGGCCTGAGCGGATACAAGCGAGGCGCACCATTAGCAGTCTTAATAACATTCAGTTGAACATGAGGGGTGGCATGGGTGGTGTTTCCTGTGCTGTCGCCGGGATGTCGTTGCAGCACTGCATCGAGGCATTGTGAAAGTGGCACTGAAGGGTGACTATCAATACCCAGACAGCCGTGAACCAATATGGTGAGGACGGCATCGACTTGCACTCAAATATGCGAGTCTGCCCAGTTTCCCATCGTGGACGAGTGGGGTGCCCAAAGCCCGTCGCATCAGTACACATATCAACCAGAAGAGGGCCGAGTTCCCGGGCACCCTATAATAAGATCGCCGAGTGCGCTGTTGCTCTCCCGCTCTTGATGCAACATAATCGGTGCTGGGCGTCG